TAATTTTGTACATAGTGCGTATGAGTAATATTTTCAGTAATTAATTTCATTTAAATGTTTTTTATTAAGTTCTCTACTTTTTCAATGACATTTTAACACTTTAACATTCAAAATTCGTTTCGTTATCAACAAATTTAAAAATATTACTCATACGTCTCGTGCGCCATGTGAAGCAATTAAATAATGGTTTTGGCAAAGGTTTGTTCAGTTTATTAACATATGTGCAATCGAAATTAGAAACTTGATTTAGTTTAAAGTTAAATTAATAAAAAGGCATATCTAAAAGAATCTGTATTCTGTTTTAAGTAGTTTCTTGACACTTTACGCGCCATTTCCTAATTAAAAAAGTCCACTGGCATGTCCACATTGTTATTGCGAAAGCTAAGAGCAATGTCAAAAATAGAACTGACAAATTTCCATGAGTATTTAATGCCCCACGCCCACTGTAGCTCAAATACGTACACTCACACATGGTCCAAAGGTGGTGTTGGATGCCAGGAGAGATGCCTCCATGAGAGCCCCAAAGAGTGAGAGAGCGAGAGAGACGGCGGTGATGTCATCCCCACTTATTTACGAATACACACGAACGGGCGAGCGACAAGCGACGATCGAAGCAACCGAACTAATCAAAACAACCTATCGAAGCCAATAGAGATTAGGGGCCTCGTAAAGTCGCATCCATGCACGTTGGACGCGAATTGCGATCAAAGAACCCGCATGTTGCACTTGCAACCAGAAGCGATCGGAGTGGAATCCAAATCGATAAGATTCTCTCTCTCCGGATTGACCTGCTCTCGCAGCAATCAACCCCAATTGGGCCCATTTAAAGGGGTAATTCAACGATGGTACCCACTGTAGCGGCGGGCACGTTCCCCCGATTGCATTCTTCGTTTCGTTTCGCGTTTCCATCAATTAAATTGCCTCAGATTCTCCATCTCTGAATGGGTTTTATTTGTTTTTTTTTGGTGGCTCTGAAACAGAGACGATCGTCTTTCCATTTAAAAGGGGGCTCAGTCTTATCAGCAAATTGCGGTCTATTTTCCCAGCAGGTTCAGGTTGCACTTTCCAATGAACTTTTGCGGCTATTACGCATACACACGCGAGCAAGAAATCAATACACATTGGAAAAGATAGAAGAATTTTAAATTTTTGTTTGAAATAGAAATTATTAGCAGGCCAAAACTTCACAATTGTTTTTCAAATATCATATTAAATAAATTAAATGCAATTAATTTGTTTACTTCCGAAAACTTATTAATCATTTATTCTTCAAAGGGAACTTTCGGTATTTCTGTCGGTGCATCGCATAGAGAAGCTGTCGCATCTTTTTTGATTTCTCAACATTTTCTTGTAGAAAGTGTCGTGGTGAGCAAGAGCAGCAACAACAACAGTGACAAATACAAAGCATAACTACAAAAGCTAGGGCAATAATATGGCTGAAACCTCAACCGCCAAGTGACGTCAGTGGGGCAACAACGGCGGAGTACAACAACAACAAAACTAAATCAATTACAAAGATTATTTTTCGCTTAAAAAGTAAATTAAAAAAGAAGAGAAAGATGAGTGCAAAATAATGGGGCAGAGATGATCTTCCTCTCCTTCGTCCAGCAGCCAGCGGCAGCAGTTGTTGTGGGTGGCAAATAAACAAGTTGCTCTTTCTCTCTGACTTCCTCTCTGAAAGCTCACTCACTCTCTCGGTGACCCGTCATCATCTAGCGCTCTCGCTCCCGCTCTCCCCCACTAGCTCCATCTCTTTCGTTGGCCTTAGGTCCCTAGTTGGCAACTCGTTTACCTTTTTTTTTTTGCTTTTCGCCTTTGGCTCTGAACATCTGTTGTTGTTAACTCTTTCGCTGTTGTTGCAAATCTGTTGAAACAAAAACAAAACTTAGTGAGGAATTTTGGAAATGCCAATCACAGCCATATGTGCCATATGCTGCGACAACTCGAGATTGCGGACCCATGTGGCCATCTAATGTTGGTTAAACACTGGAAAGCCATCGCCCAGACTGTTAACGACATTTTGAGTGTGGTTTTTGGGCGTGAAAGATGCAATATGCGATTTAATTGACTCCAAACGTTGAAATCATGTGATCGTTTTGATTGCCACTCGAAAGTTGACTCAAGACTACAGGTTTCCATGTGAACCCCAAGGGATCCTTACTTTATAAAATGGCATACATATATTTAGTAGTATTTTATATATTTATATTAAACTTAGGTTGATTTTTTCCGAAAATATGGGAAAAGTCATTCACCTTCTTAATTTTACTTTAACTCTTTTAATTTTAAATTATTGACTTTGCTGATAGATTTAACTAAATATTTGCTGAAATCGTTTTCTTTAAATTAATGCCCTTCACGCACTTTGTAAAAATTGTAATAATCTTTAATTTAAATTTATATATTAGATGATTGAATGTTCAAAAACCTTCCCCTTATTCAAATATTGAAAAACATATCCCCGTTTTATTGACGTTCATTGAATTTTATTGAAATTTTGCGAGTTAATACAAAACCGAAAATTGAAATTATTGCAATTAACATTAAAATCGCCCGCTCACCGTTACAATGCCACTGAAAAAACGTTTGTTGTTGTTTAATACTATGGTTAACTGATTTTACAATTACTAGAAGAGAGTGTGTCTCTGTTCTTGTCTACAAAAATGTAAAATAATAGTCACATTTAAAATTGCATAAATTCTAGACAAGTGTAGATGTTATAGTATGTCGTACATATTGGTTTTTATTTTGTTTTTTTTTTTTTGGAGAAATTCTCATGCATAAAATGTTTCTGTATTTTATAATCATTCTTCTGTTTTTTTTTTTTTTGTATTCGTTTTTGGTTTTTCATTACTTTGTTTTGTTGTAATAATTTGGAATTATGCATTATATGTTTTAAATTTTATTGCATTTTATGTAATTAAATATATATAACGTACATCACAGCAAAACTTTATAATTTTTTTTTTGTTTATTTTTCACTTTGTTATACTATAAATATATTTTTATGATAAGCTTTTGATTTTTGTTAATTGTTTGAAAATAATAATAATAATAGTAATAAACCAGAAGAGAGTTGTTAGAGGAAAACTATTCGATGGAAACACCTAGTATTAGTGCAGTTAGTTCAGGTTAGACGGATAGAAATTGAACGAACTGAAGTTAGTTAAATTATCGGGAAACCGGATCGAAACGAATACTTTTGTTAAGGATAAATGTTAAAGTTACTTTCTGCTTAGCTTGGTTGATTGAATTTTTTACATATACATACTCGTAGGTAATTATGTCAGTGCACGTACAAAAGGTATTCAATTCATGTATATAATATATTCTATATATAATTATTCGCTTTTATTATAACGTTCTGTTATTGTGACAAAAATAAAATTTTATTTTGGTTTCATTCGTTTATCCTTCAATTTGATGTTCCTACTAATAAAATTCTAGAAAAGCACAACACCTTTAAATGGTCTTTTGGAAATACCATTATTCATTTATAGATTTTTAAAACAAGAAAGAACGCTACAGTCGAGGGGTCCGACCATGCGATACCCGGTACTCGATATCCTTTTTGAAAATTAAATTGCATATCTTAAGGAGTTGGCATCAGAACTTTTTTTAATTGAATATATGTAAAAAAAAAAAAATTCTATTTAAATTCTGGTATTCAAGCAAACAATTGACGGATTTTATTGGTAAGATCGAAGGACACTCTACAAGTACCGGGCATATTAAATACACACACATTTTACATATACATATACTAGGTATCAAGATTTCGGTAATGCATAGCGTTATTAAGGGTCTGAGAACATTTGGGGCACGGGAACATGGGGACTCGGGGTGGGTTGTAGTGCTGGAAACTCTCGCTATAAGCAACGGATGCCCCAATACGGCTTGCTGCATAATACCCGAAAAGGCTAAACTAACGTTATGTATGTATATCGTTCACTTTCACAAAAAATCAATGCTATCCATAGTATAATATGCTATAAAAAGTTTGTTGAGTTAGTTTCAATGGTTTTTGTTTTTAATACGAATGGAGGGCAGGAATCATTTCAATTTACTTGTTCTTCGTGTTCTTCTCTCATATCCTCGTTTGGTTTAGTTCCACGTTAATTGGTTAGATAATTATTGTATGGTACTTGTACATGTATATTGGTAAAAATTGTTTGCTGTCCTTCCCCGCTGCTTCAAAGGCTAGTGCACGTAGTTCGCATATCATAAGGAAACTCTCTATATATCTGGGTGTGTGTGATGATACTTTATACTTGCAATATTCTCGCGCATCTGATGCGAAACATTAATTTGTAACTTTAGACATCCTTCCCTTACCCTTACTCTCTCGCTTTAATAGACAAGTCACATTGATTCAAGGAGGTTTATATGTTTATAAATATTTAATGCTGGTGTTTAGAGCTACAGACGTTACAGTTCGAAAGGCAAAATACTACGGAAGTAGGTGGACGCCGCCAGCTGGCCCTGGAAAAGTCTGGCTACGGTTACGATACTCGTGTGTCCTCAATTTCGCAAATTGTATTATGTTTAATTGCGCACACGTCTACTACAAATACATTAATAAGCCCACCAAATATACATATGTCTCTAAATTCTTATTACGCTTGGTATCCCTCTTCTCTCGTCTCTAGTGAGTGTGAATGGTGTGTGTATGGTGTGTGTATATATGCATCTATATAGTATATTTGCTGAAACGCTTATCATCCGCTCCTCTGGTTTAGTCGATTTTAAAGATTGCTTATAAGTTTCAAAGTTAGTTGCTTCCGTTTATAGTTACTAATTCTCAAATTCTCAAGTAGAAACGAAAAATATATATATATATATATATATGTATATACGATTTATGTTTCTTTTAAAGATATACCGTCTCGTCCTTTGCATATTTTGTTGTTTGGTTTTGCTTAGTGCAAGAAGAAGAACTTCTTCAGTGGGTTCAGTTCGTACAATTAGTATAAAATGCAATGCACTATATATATGCTGGCTTGTTTTTATGTATGTATATGTTCTATTAGGATAAATATAGTACGTGGTTACAAAAAGAAACTAATCATAATAGTAGTAATTACAATAAAGAACGAGAGGAAGCAGCAAATATGCAAGCTCAACTCAAAAGCAAAAAACACTAAACATAAATCCAAGTTTCAAATCTAAGTATACATATACATATTCCATTTTGTGGTATTTACTGTATTTAATTTTGAGTTATTCATAGGTATAGGCGTGTGTGGACAGCAACAATTCAAGATACACCATTTCCTTTTTTGGCACCGGCCTCCCAAAGTCCATTAATTTATTCGTTTCTTGGAGACTAATAATTCCTGAACTCCCCACAAATTATCAATAAGTGATCCTTGGGAGACCGACTCCAAGCATAAGATTACATATTTGTTTGTTCGTATATAGTTTTTTTAACGGATATTTAGGATATCCTCGAGTGGGAAGAAGGGACAAAAGAAATCTATAATGAATTTTGTGCAAATCTTGGCATATATACAGACAGACACTTGTTACTCATTCGGCTTTAATACACGCAAATATATTAATATATAAGGATATCCCTAAGTCAAATTCTTGGTGGTATGCCTATATGGGTTGATCCTAGTTACTCACATACAAACTAAGGTATCGACAAGCTATTGAAGAAGCTGACTGCTGCGAGATGTGCAACGGCGTGGCCGAGGTGCAGAATGAGTCAGGCTCGCGCCAGAATGTTGGCGCTTAAATATAGCTGAAGGGGAAGCATCGACGGTTTGGCAGTTGGATTCGTTGCGCGGTTGATGATGGTGGGTTGGCCGCAAGCTGGGCTCTTCCCAAAGACTCCCATACCTCGTCCACTTGTCGTTCAACAGGAAAAGCCAAAGCTGCAGCTATGTGGAATTGCTAATGCGTTACTAAGGCGCTTAGGCCGCTTGGCTCTGCTGGGGATTGGCGGTAGCTGCTGCTGCTGCTGATGCAGAGGTTCCTGCCACCTCGCCGCTGCTTTCGTCACTGCTTAAAACGGATTCGGCTACGGCCGTTGCCTGAGCCTGCGCCTGCGCCGCATGCTGCTGTTCGGAGCAATCAAAGTAGTCTGAGGCATTGCCACGGCAAATTGGACAGGTGCGATTTGACTAAGGGGTTGGAGTTACGATTTAATAATTTGTTTCGATTAAATAATTGCAAATACTCACGCGCAGCCATTTGTCCACGCACTTGGCATGGAATTCGTGGGAGCAGGGCAGTACTCGTAGCAGCTGGCGCAACTCAAAATCGCACATGCACACCACACACGAGGATTGATCGCCTGAGGAAGGTAATATATAATAATAAATAAACTAGGGATTACAGAAAATATCTATATATTAACATTGTATTGATAATATAGCCTTATAGCGAAGTTTTCTTCTCAATACTTGGTGTATTAAGAAGTGAATAAAACCCTTGTTTTTTGTTGCCTACTTATTTGGGCGTTTTATAAACTCCCGTCTTACTCACCGTTGTGCACATCCGGATTGTATTTGTAGCTGGGCAGCTGATCAATTTCATTGCGGGTAAGTCCCCTTGGCTTCGCTTCGCCCAATCGCTCGGCCAGACTAAGCAACGCCTCATAGTTCTCCGTCTCATTGGTGTCGCCGGAGCTCAGATCGTGTTGGTTGTAAGGCGATAGAGGGAACATGGCCCTAGAATATAACATACTCATTAGTACTTAAACGATGTTGCATGGACGGGAAACATACAGGAAGTTGAGCAGGAAGCCCGGGTTAATGATGCTCGAGGTGGCCTGGATCTGCACCGGGGCTTGGTGGGCGGCAAGCGATTGCGGCGGCAGGACGTGACGATGACCGTGGTTCGCCGGCCAGAAGCGCGGGATGCGTCGGTGGGGCGGGAATGTGCGTCGATCCGACGAGATGATAATCTGCTGTGGCCCGGTGGACATCTGTGCGGTTGCCTGGGCGGCGACGGCCGCTGCAGCAGCCGCCGTGGAATGTAGGTGGTGTGTGGCGGCCGCAGCCGCCGCTCCGCTCAACGGAGTGATGTGAATGCCCGGTGGCAGCTGGTGAGCATGCGGATGGGCATGAGGATGAGCGTGCGGATGGCCATGGGGACCAGTTGGCGGACCACCGCCAGGGCCGTGATGTCCGTCCAAGTGGTGTGCGCCCGGTGGTGCGATGGGTCCCAAATTGGCCACCGCAATAGTGGCCACGTCCCGTTGATCCTGGTGGGCGCTCAACTGGGCCTGAGCCAGCATCTGCTGTGCGGCAGCTGCAGCGGCTGCCATTTGTGCCTGCGACGGAACCGGTGTCACTTGCAACGGCGGTGGAGCCGCAAGTCCTGGTGGTGGGGCAGCGGCAAAGGGTTGCGTGTAGACGCCGTGCAGGTGGCAGGGCGCCAGACGGGCCTGCGCCGGTATCGGATACGTGCAGAAGGAGGCCCAGAAGGGTTCTGAGGGACGTAGCTGCAGGCTGACGGGCACCTGGTTAAGGTTAAGGTCGACCATCAGTGATGCGGGTGGCGGTGGCGCCGGTGGATATCCCACACCAACCGCCTGCTGGTGAGTTGGCGGTGGCTGCGGCGCTGTTGGCACCTGCTGCAAAATTGGGCCCACCGTGCTACTGGTGGGTGCTCCTCCAGCGCTTCCTCCACTGTTGCCCAGATCCCAAGGCGAGCGCTGAGCATGTGGCGGCGGCACTTGTTGATGCTGGGGACCATAGTGTGTCTGCTGCTGGTGATGGTGCATTTGATGATAGTTTGAAGGCGGCTGCTGTTGCGCATGCGGATGCGCCGGCGGACCGTACTGCTGGTGTGTGGAGGTAGTTACGTCGCGCAGTCGCGGACGACGCAGCGGCGGACTGCCCTGCTGCATCTGGATTTGAAGAAAATTATATTTTAAACTACTGGTACTGGTATTTCCCAGGAAGCGGAAATTAAACTAATCAAGGAAAATATAAATATTTCCAAAGTAGCATTTTGGCTTTTATCGATATCGAATTAGAGTGCCCAGCATTGATTATACATTTTGAAAGCTCTAAAAGCAATTTTTTTTGAAAAATATTTTTTAGGGAAATGTATTAAATGTTTAATTTTTCCATCTACCCCATTTCTTACCTGAGTCATAAGACATCGGTGCTGGGGTGGCGGACCGTTCTGGGGCCTGCCAGAGATGCGGCGACGCTTGCGCGACGGACTGTCCGAGTTGAGTCCACCGTTGGGACCGTTGTTAAGTGACAGCGAGGAGCCCGACAATCCAGATCCCGATGGAAGTTCTCCCATTAAGCCGGGGCCACCGGAGGATGTAGAGGCACCACCATTGTTGTTATTATACCCCATGTGCTGGTAATGGGATCCGTTGCGTCCGTAGCCACCGCTGCCGCCTCCATTTCGCATGAAGTTGTACGAGGTGTCAGTTCGATCTCGGTGGTCTGGTCCGCCCTGATCTGAGTTTCCAAAGTGCTGGAGGAGGCAAGATATTCAAATAAGACTTAATGCAAACTAAACTTTAAAGAACTTACATTATTCAAATTCCTGTCGTTGTAGTTGCGCTGGTGGTGTCCAGAGTTGTTGTGACCGTTTATGGACGCGGAGGCATTGTTTAGGTGATTGTCGGACATGTGTCGGCGTCCATTATGACCGTGTCCGTTGCCATTGCCGGAGTAGTCCCTCGTCAGAGCCGGACAAATACCACCGCCTCGTCGATAATTCATATAGTCCGGTGGTCCACCTCCGTTGGCGTTACCATTATTACCGATTCCATTCCGACTGTTATTGTTGTAGCCACCGCGCTGCTGCTGCTGCTGGTGGCCATTGTGGCCAAGATTGGCGGAGTTTCCTGGTCCCTGTTGTCCCTGGCTGTGGCTATTGATGGGTGCGGATGCGTTATTAATTTGATGTGGTTGTTGTTGGGGCATCATCGACGACGCAGACGCAAACGAAGACCCATGAGGAATTATATCGGTACAAGAATTTACATTCACAACATCAGTAGGATTACTATTTGTTGTTGGATTGGTTGGATTGAGAGTTGTTGCTTGGTTGTTGGCTGAATTTGAATTCGTTCGTGTTAGCGGGAGGGATTGGCGATTAGTCTGTTGTTGTTGTTGCTGTGGGTTATGCAATGGATGGTACTGGTGTGGCGGATGAAACTGGCGCCGGGATGCGGATGCGGATGGATGGTTTTGACTACTATGCGGCGCCAGATGGAAATGGCTCTGGTCCCCTGAACTGGGATGGGAATGTAAATGGGGATGGGGCAAAGGATTTGGAATAGGACTGAAGGTCACTAGGGAATGGGAGTGGGCGAGGGGATTGGCGGGTGCTAGCGTGAGGCACAAGCGGGCGGGATTCAGTCTCACCAGGGAAACGGACATGGAACCATAGGTGTGGGTCTGTGGACACATCTCATAGTAGCTGGGGTACGAGCTCTGGCCGTGATTCGGCGGGGAAGTACTACTAATATAAGGCTGCTGCTGCGGAGGACGCTGCTGGCTGTTTGGAGGATGGCTGCTATTCGAATGAACACTGCTGTGTGGTGGTGGGTGGTGCATTGGAGGAGGATGTGATGGATGTGGGTGTGGGGGGAATGGGGATGATTAGTGTGACTGTGGCTCTGAGTGTGACCATTGTTGTTGCTGTTGTTGTGATGATGATGCGCTTTGCTATTATTGTTATAAATACAAGTTCCGCTAGAATTACTTGTTTGTACATCGCTGGATTTTCGATTTTGAGGTTTGCAGTTGCAGTTTGTTTTAGATAATATGTAATACATATATACGTATATATAGAGAGTATATAATATTCGGTTGTACGAGATACAGTTGAAAATTGTTCAATCAAATCAATGCAGTAGCAGTGTGTGGTAGTATTAAACACAACCCATATATAGTTATTTGTATGCAATACATGTACAGGTAGTAGGTAGTAGTAGTAGTAGTGGTGTATATATGCAGAGTGGTAGCCACACACACATAATATACGTTATTTATATAGTTTTTATTATTATTATTATTTTGCAGTAGTTTTCGGTTTTTTTTATATGAAGAAGAAAGAAAAACGAAAAAGATAAAAATAATATTTATGTAAATGGCAAAATGCAATAATTAGATATTAGTTTAATATAGATATAGGTATATAATATCGATATGTACACACATTTAGTATAAAACAAATACGTACGTACTAATTTGTTTCACATCGTTAGCAGATTTTTCTATTTTCCTTTTTTTCTGCTATTTTTTTTTTTTTTTTTTTTTGGCTTTGAATGCATTTTAGATGGAATTTGGTTAGTTTGCTATTTTATTTATTTATTTGTGGCTCGCTTTGATTTTATGCACACTACGCTTACGCTTAAAAATTGATATCGAAATCGAATAGGAACGTAAACGGAAACGGAAAAGAAAACCACAAAATGCCAATCGCACACTGTTCTTCACACTATTCAAAGTTAACGTAACGTAACGTTCTCACTAGCACTAACACGAGAGAAATTACATTGGATACGTATAAATATATTTAAGAGAGAGAGAGAGAGATAGAGAGAGAGAGAGAGTGCTGGTCATGCTCCAAAACTATACAAAAGAGGACATAAACCGAAAACGTAAATAAACTGGTACAAAAACAACTCGTACGTATATAAGTTACGGTAAGCTTGAGCTTTTCTTCAGCCTGTGTGAAAAAGCTTTTACGAAATACTTTTTTTAGATTTTTTTTATATTTAGCGGGGTGAGAACGGAAACGGAACAGAACGGATAGGGGATCCCAAAGGATCGTGATCGAGCTGGGCACACACTATATGGTAGAACTTAGGCCTATTTACTTATGTACATACACACACAGCAATAGAGTGGGGGGAGAGGGGCGTGTCTAAGCGCCCAACTTCTAAACGTAATCGTAATGTAACGTAACGTAAGCCGGTGTCAGCGCAACGTAGTAGTATGCAACTCTTACGGACTAGATGCAAAAGCTGCGATTGCAACTGACTATAAATCAAAGAACAATTATAGAAGACGACAAATTAAAGAGTATTAGAATTATGTACTGGATAAACGGAGTGTGATAAAGACCATACAATGCTGCTCTTGTTCTTATTATTATTGAAATTGTTATAACTGTTATTGTGGCTGGCTTAAAGTTACACACACACACGCACAAACAGTAATCGGCGTTAGAAGAAAGATAGAAAAATAGAGCTAGGGGAGTAAATCATAAGGGGAACGAAAGAGAAGGAATGCTCGAGCTATGTAAACAGTTGATTTTTCATCTATTTGGTTTTTTTTCGGTAATTTGTCGGTTTTGCATTGTTTAAGATAATTATTATTATTTTTTACTTATTGTTTTTTGGTTGGTTTTGGTTTTTGGAATTTCTATGAGGTACATTTTGATTAAACATTCTAAGCCGCAGTGTGCAAAATGCAAATAAATAAGTAAAACATTAAGCTGAGTTTGTTGATTATTTGCAAAACTCGACTCGGTTTTGGGCCTCCGACCTACGCAAAGTTAAGCAGAATACATCAATCAATCAATAGTCGTCAATATACTTAGCTATCAATCAAGAAACTCAACTAAAATGCATCATTCATAAAATGTCGAAATCGAAAGAAAATTACAACTAGTTACGGTACGGTTTGGATAAAGAGGAAATTTTGTAACTAAATTCATACTTTGCTTGCACTTTTCACGGTTGCATTTCACATATTTAGTTTTATCGCATTTATGTCTGTTGTTGGTATTTCAGGTTTTGTTTTTTTGTTTTTAATTTAACGAATAGCGTAAAACGTGAAGCGACACTATGCGCAAAACGAAAGAAAGTTTACCAAAGTAAAAAATAACAAAAATATAATTTAAAATATTGTGGGTGGCGGCGGGATTGGGTTTAATATCGGCGGATATGTACTGAACCTATCTGGAAAATTGCTTTAATGTGGTATCTGTACAATCCTAGCTGCCTATAACTCGATAAAGGATGTATACATATGTTACCCAAAAATATTTTGTTTCTGCTGGGTCTTAAATGTTAATTGTCAAACTTTAAATTATTTACTTAACCAGTATTATTACTTCCGCTCTAATTAATAAGTTTAATAATAACTTGGCGCAAACCAAAATGGTGTCCTTATATCCCGTTTCCAAAAATAATTGAATTTTAAAGTTTCGTTGTCAAATAAAGCTTAATTGAATATCTCCGAAAGTGTAGGGAATATTTAGATAGTGTCTGTATTGTTTTTTCAAGAATTTTATTACTTCTAATAATTTTATGTTACGAGAAGGGAATATATATTAATTTTTTTTAAAGTCACTTATTAAAGCTGCTTTGTACTTGTAATAATTCTTATTCACTTCTATTTCTGCTATTGGATAAGCCGTTCTTTCGATGATGCATGAAAAGCACTTACCCGCCCGAGTTAATTATTTAACTGCTTACAAATGTCGTTGGTCGCTGGCTTTTCCGCCGGAGACTCCTTCGACGCGCTGCATTTTCTTTAACAAATCAATTATAGCCACTTAAGCGAACCGGCTGATCCTGTCCTTAACAATCTAAAAGCTTACAAAGGAACTACGAGTAATTGCCAACTACCAACGCGGGATATAGTCGGTGGGAGGAGGGAGATAAGCCCCTGGGGGTGTTGTTGATGAGCCAGACAGAGAGATAGAAAGAGAGAGTGGGGGCGGGTAGAGAGAGATAGCATGCTGGTAAGTACTTAAGTCCGTTAGGCGCGCTTTACTCAAAATCAAGATGAAGCGTTCGGGACAAAAGAAACGACTACAAAACTCAAGAAATATTTTCTACTTAATAAGTTTGGTTCGCCATTTTCAAGTGCTTTTCATGCATTTTCTTAGAGAACGGAACTGTTTTGAAACATGGAACGTTCTTTATAAGATGTTACAACGGAAATGAATAGTTTCTGATTCGGTTAATACGGTTTCTTCTACGGAACTTAACACTGCTCCATTGTAATATGGTAATAAAAGCGGTTAAAAATGTACATACGATGAACATTAAGTAAATCAAAACTCTGTTCTTGCTGGGCAGTGTACTATGTTGTGTGGGTATTGTATGTAAAATGTAATGTGAATGCATAGATACAACGGTAATTAGTAGTTTGTGTGGATGGATTGTAACGGTAACGGATGGTTAGAGGTGTATGTGCCAATCTCGACGAGGAACAGAACACAAAAGGTACAGTACGCAAAATAGAACGCAAGAGAGTTACAAATGATCGAGGTATTATATATTCGTTATGCGATGCAAGCTTTTTTTAGTGCTTCGAAAATTCAACGGTTAGGACCAATTTTAAATGTTTTCTTGTTTTTGTTTTTGGTTGCACTACGACACGCGACATTAATTACAAAATTCTCCCTTTAGCCTAAAAGCGATTTTCGATTTTTCAGTTCAGGTGTGGTTTTTTTTTTTTTGGTTACGAAGTAATCGATAGATAGTAGATAGAAAGTAGATAAACTGTTCTAGTTGTGGTGGGGAGTTACAAGGATATGTCTTGTTAGTCATGGATGGAAGGGGATCAGGTGGGATTAAGGGACTAAGGGATCTCGGGAGCGGTTCGGATTAGAGTCCTGATGAAGTGAATTTTGAAAGTTGGATACACTCATCGGTAAAATACAATTCAAGAGTATTTCGGAATTAAAAAAGGAACAATTTAATTTAATTTACAAGCTTCTATTAATCAATTTTCTTAAAACAAGAATAAACTCAATGCTCTCGAATATATTTTAAATAATTTCGAAGTGTGTAAGTTTATCCATCTCAAAATAATTTTATAATTCGAATCCTTTACTCTACTTCCGACAAAGGACTCGGTAGATTATTAAAATTCACTTAATGCAGAACTCTAGTTGGGTTGGGGTTCGTTTCAAATTCGCTTTTTTTTTTTGGTAGGTTGTCACTTAAGGCTAACATAAAACTTGATCGCTGAAGATCGCTGCTTAATGCAAGCGGCTCTCGGCTCTTACCAATTTGAATTTCTGCCATCGATAGCATCTTTGTTATTAACATTGTTGTTGTTGCTGCCACTGTTGTTGTTCAAATTGACATTGCTCCAAGGACTGTGGCCAGGTAAAACGGCATTGTTGTTGTTTGAGCGCTGTTGTTGCTGCTGCTGCTGCGCATGTTGCTGCTGGGCATGCGGATGTGGGTGTGGATGCGGGGAGTAAAGCATGCGACCGCCTAATCCTCCGCCTCCAGCGCCGCCGTTACCGCCACGATGCGAGCGGACCGATGAGGAATTGCGGGAAAAGGGACGACGACTGCTGCCCCCATGATTGTTGCTCTGGTTGTTGTTGTTGTTGCTGCTGCTGCTGCTGGCATTGGAGTTGAGCATGCTGCTGCAGTTGCTGCTGCTACCGTTGTCGCAGTGGTTGCTATTGTTGCTTCTGCTTCTGCCGATACTGTTGTTTTTTATTCAAGAGTTTTCTTTTGACTTTTCTTTTATTTACGCAGCTGTGGAGCGGTAGAGGAAACGAGAAGGAAACGAAACGATTTTCTTTTAAAGTGGCCGCTTGTACACTTAATTATTGCTGGCCCCGTTCCGTTTGCAATCAGTAGAATTTTAGCATTAAAATCCAAATCGATCAAAGTTCATATTTTTTTGGTGGATACTTGTATAGCTTGCGGCTTTTTTTCAAATTCGCCGGCATTCGCAAATGCTTAGAGTGTTAATAATTTTCCTAATTTTTGTGTAAATTATGTATTTGCGTAAAAAATACAAATAAGTGTCGAAGTTTGAAGTTTAAACAAAATGTATATTGTGAAAAAAATGTTTTGCTAAATGTATAAATCATAAAAAATCAGTATTTAGCCATTCGATTAAATCTTAATTAATTAGTACTTAGATGTTATTAATTCTTTTTTTGCATTTTTGTAATACTTTTTATTAGTGAAAGTGAATTTCCATAAAGATATACTTGAAGTTAAATCAAATTAATAAACTCGATCGATTCAGATTCCCACCAAAATCCAAAACGGAAAGGGGTTTTTTAAATGCTCTAGTTTTTTAAATGAGATTTCTTGTTTTTGATTACATATTTGTGTTTGTTTGTTTTTTATTTATTTATTTAGAAAGTATTCTAAGCCGGACCCGCACTCCAGAACAGAAAGCAAACAACCAACAAGCCAACATGCTCAATAACAAAACATTTATGGTTTCTCTAGTAGGCAAAATACTTACTTAGGCAAGGATAATAAAATATTTATATATATATATGTATATATATGTGTGTGTGTTTATATATTGAGATTGGGTGTGTTTATGTGTGGATATATATATGTAGATATTTATTGTAATATCGTAATAAATAAAACAGCAACAATTTTCAGTTTGTTTTAACAGTGTAGCTTTAATAGGTTGTCAATTAATTATATGGAACTGAGATGAGATACGTGCGTGGTTAGTTCTTCAACTATTGAGAGGTATATAAGTACGATATTTATGTATATAAATTCATGTTCGGGGGTATATGTATAAAGCTGCCGATACAGATACGGATATATACGATATACGACGATATATAAAGAGTTAACAGTTAAGGGGGAATATTATATTATATGTATGTGTATATGAGAGCTAACTCCGCCGACTCCTTCCGCAGCAAATGATAGTAGGATAGATAAGTGGCAACGACAAATTTTAACACTTCCAGCGTTTTTCCAGTTTTTCGAGTTGTTGTTAAACACGATAACCCATCGTTAAGCTTCCCTCTCGCATATATACATACATATCTATATCTAAATGTGTGTGTTTTTCGTTTTACATGAGCGTGTCAACTGAACAAAAACAATATTAGTTAGTGGTACGGTTTCGGATAGGGTTCTTGGGTATGAATGGTATGGGGGGTGGATGACTGATTACAAAACTTATCACTTATCGCCCGGCGGGCAGTTAGTACAATCGAAGGATTCCAGATCAAGAGAGCGACAGATAAAGAGGTTACACTTAACGTACATGTGTTGTGTGTGTATGTTGTTGGGGTGTGTGCTCTATAAGTAGGTAATATAAATAGTACTAGGCATAAAGTAGAAAACGAACATGTGCAAAGTAAAACAAACAGTGTGACAAAGTCGTGTTGTCGTATATAGAGTATATAGTATATAGCATAAATGGACGGGTTAGATCGTATTTGGAACCATTAAGAGAACATAGGACAAATACAAATAATTACAAGGTACTTGGTACTCTTTTTTTCTTGTTTTTTCTTCAGTCTTCTATACTATTAACAGGTATATAAAAAAACAACAACAAAAAAAAAACAAAGCTTACAAACTAAAGCCGTTCGGTTGCCAGTTGCGGTAGACAGTTGATTGATTGGTTGGTTCAGGTTGGTTGATAGGTTTGTTGGTTGGTTGGTTTGGACTTGTAGGCAGTTCGAGGATTATTCTTTTAAAAGTTGAGCTGAGCTTGAGTTGAGCTGAGGTTGAGATATGTGCAGTTTTGCAGTTGCAGTTGCTGTTGCATTTGCGCTTGCTTTGATAGTTGGTCAGTGAGATTGAGATACAGATACAGATACAACAGTGTCAACGGCAACGGCAAATGGCAGGATGGCGGTCTTATGTGATACATACGGGCATGTATTTAGTATACATTTTTTCGGTTTAGTTGCTTTTCGGTATCAGTATCAGTATTGTTGTTGTTTTGGTTTCTTAATTCTTTATTTATTTTACATGTGGCTATATACGTGAGTCAATATAGGGGAAACACTTGATGATCGGTATTCGGTTTGAGAGACGTGTGTGTTAAAGAAGCGGAGCACGTCTGGCCACGGCCGTTAACAATGCAAATTTACCACCAAAACCAGCAATAAAATATTGTATGTATGCTAAAACAAAGAAAATAAAAGTAAAAGAAAACATTGCTATTACATTCAGTTGAGAACTAATTACTTGAATCGGTTTAGTTTGGTTAGCAATAAATGTATGTATATAGTATGTGGATATCAAATATTTAAGTAAATACCTAATTTATATTATTTATAAAAGCCTGGTTTTAATTGCGGCCAATGGTTATTAATTAATGCCAATGTAATGCAAATTAGACGTAAAAATAGGCAGGCAGATACAATATACAAATGCTTGACTATAACGACAATGGTTGTAATTGTGGTTCCATCATATACAGTTGCTGTTAAAATAATAGTGCTTTGGGCTGTAATCTTCCCTTGGTCGAAGTGGAGCAAAATATCTTTTAAGAATAATGGTTAATAGTTTGAAGAAAAAAACTTTATCAAAGTAATAAAAATATCAGGGCATAAACAAACCTCAATAAATGTAACATTTCTAAGAAAATTATTTATTGTAAAAGGGAAACTGAAGCGAATAGTTGTTAGTGATTTTAAGCAATTAATGTGTTTTAAATAAAGTAATATTCTAAGTAAATGTAGGAAGTATTTAAAGAAATGTAACCTTGTTATCTTTTTTAAGTTTGAAGGTATTCTAAATTCAGTTGAAGTAATTTATGACACAATATATGTAAAGTGTAAAAAAAATAGAACTTTTGGCTTATTATAGGTTTATACTGAATTTTGGTGTGATTAAATTAAACAAAATAAAAGGTAATTCAATGTTAATTAAACTTCTTTAAATGAAACGGAACTTAAATCGTTGCTGCCACACAATGGTATAACTATTTTACGTTTATCAGTGCATGAACGCCCCTAAGTGATTAAGATATTTGTAATAAACATTAGTTTACGGATAAGATAAGCTTTCTAACATAGATAAAACGCTAAAAGGGGTCTACTGAGGTGATGGAGTATTAATACGAAAAAAAGAAAGCAACACAAAAGGGCTCCCCTTCAACGCAACACAGAAACAGACTACTTTTCGGCCATTAAGCTCTATTATTTCCACCACAACTGTGCCTGTGTATGCGTATGCCCAAGGAAGTGGAACTCCTCTAAAAGAGTTTCTGCGTGCGAATCGGTTCGAGTGGAGCGGCTGTGGCTGCGGCTATTCATACTTGGGCAGGGTCGGCCACTGCGTTGGGGTCGCTCCACACGGTGGCCGCCCTCTCAAAATTAAAACAATAAATTATAAAAAATAAACGCATATATACACACATACACACATAGGCAGGGCTGGCATCAAAATATACTATTTTCCCATGGAGTCCGGACCCCAAGCAACACACACACACACACAAAGGTTGACGGACGGAAGTGGAGAGAGCTATGAGAGGCACGGAGCGGCATTGAGAGTGCGAGAGAGGACCCACCTAGCCATGTCTGGCCGTATACGAGTATGTGTGTGTGTGTGTAAGTGCCCCCTCTTGTTGTTGCTATTGCGTAGTCATGGCAGTCAACTTTATCGACGATTGCTCTTTTTCTCGTTTCGTTTTCGTTACACACACTGATTATATGAATATGTGAATATGTATACTATAAAACGCTTGTTGGCTGGCTGGTTTTTGGCAATTACGCTGGCGTTTCAAAACACAATGATTTGGCTAAATTGCGACCAGTGCTTTTCTGGTATACACAGGCCGATTTGCATAGGCTGCGAGGATATCTGCACTTCACATACACACCATTAGGCACACACGAACGCATTTCGAAATAGGAGTCGCACTCATGGGGGCTGGGAGCGTTAATTGTATTCGAAATAAAACGGATAAATAATAGTACACACCAGTCGCAAGCGAGACGAACAAAGACGCTGTGTGGTAAAATGTACCCAGGCGCTCCTCTCTCTTTTTCACTGCGAGTGTAGATATGGAAAATCGAAACTCTGTGGCTCTGCTCTCCACTCTCGCCATCCCGCTCTCCCCCGCACACGTACAAAATCAACACAAGTTCACACATACATACAGACGTGAACTCACAATGACCAACCACTTCGTCACCAGCAGATAAAAGTGCTGGCCTTAAAATACTGCGTTTTATGTAATTCCACTAGATACATACGTTGCGGAAACAAGCACAATTTATATCACACGAATTCATATTACACAAATAATAATCGTCTTTGAATACAAATTGCACTTGTATCTTTATTTTTTATGGGAGTTTACCTCTTCGATTTTCGACCTGAAAGCTATTAGTGGTGGGGTATCATCGATGGCACCGATGTTTTCGGAACATCGACAACATCGATGTTTTGCTGTCATCGATGTTTTTTCATCTCTAATAGCTGCGGGTTGGTAAGAGACGCAACGATGTCGGTATCGATAGTTTATGCTTGGCGATACATCGATATAAGCTCTCCACCATTGAAGTTTTTGCTTACGGAGTTATTTCAGTCTTTGTACTAGGCAACTTTTGTACTTTTCTTGCCATACAAAATTTTAACTAATAACGTTCAGGAATACGCGGGCGAACGGGTCGATGATTTACGATTTACCGACACTATCGATAGTATCGATTTTTTTGCCAGCTCTAGGGTGGGTTGTTTCAATGTCCAAGCTACGGTCACACTAATCTCCACCGAAAACGCTAAAACTCTGCCTGAAAATAAGGCTTTTATTTATTAAAAGCAAAAAGCAAACTCGTTGTCGGGTGTGCTGGCCCTTTCAACTGCTCGTAAACGGAATTTGAAATTAGAAAATGTAAGTAATACGGCGCATTTTATCCCCTTGCTCGGCTGAAACATTCTGCTTTTTTCGGCCGCTCTTAGGGCGCGTGCCCAGAGTCCCGCCGGTGAGGGTGAGAAGGAAAAGGACAACAAGGATAAGGACACCAAAGAGAAGGACGGCAAGACAGTGGCCAGCAGTTCCTCGCGCAGGGAACGTGAACGAAAACGCCGCGGCTCAGCTTCCTCCAGCAGCGACTCCAGAAGCAGGTAAAAATTGCCGGCAAACACACCTACATACCCACGCGTATGTATGGTTAGTTACTGTTGCAAACACCAAATAGGGACTCAAATTGTAAAATTGACGTTACAACCATTTCTAGCTCTTCGGACAGCAGCTCATCGCGCAGTAGCTCTGGCTCAGACTCACGCTCTAGTTCGAGCAGCTCCAGTGACTCGTCAAGCTCCTCGTCGTCGTCATCGAGCGACTCTGACCGCAGCGAGAAAAATAGGCGTCGCGGCGCCGGCGGTGGAGGCAAGGACAAGGAAAAAGAGAAACCAGCACCACGTTCCCGTTCCCGCTCTCGCACCCGGTCGCCAAGACGCGCATCAAAGTCACCCAGGCCGGGAAGCAAGGCGCGAAAGGAACCGGAGAGGGATCGTGAGCGACGCAGTCGTTCCCGTGATCGTAATCGACGTGGTGTCTCCAACGAAAGGCCTCTTGTCGAGAATAATAATGTAAAGCGTGAGCGTTCCCGCTCGGGAAGTCGCTCACGATCTCCGCGTCGCCGTGGACGTGGCTCCGTGGACAGGACGCCGCCCCCGAAGCGGCGGGAGCGCTCTCGCTCAAAAACTCGCACTCGTTCGCCCACACCTAAGCCGGTGCGCATCCATATCGGTCGTCTGACGCGCAACGTGACCAAGGACCATGTATTCGAAATTTTTAGTAGCTTTGGGGATGTGAAGAACATTGATTTTCCTACGGAACGTAGGAACGGAATGGCCTACATAGAGTACGCCACCGCCGAGGATTGCGAGTCGGCCATGAAGCACATGGACGGTGGTCAAATTGATGGCCAGGAGATTACGGTGTCGCCGGTCATCATACCCAAGCAGCGACCACCGATGCGCCGCCCTTCACCCCCCATGCGTCGCCCGCAGAACAATCGCTGGCGCTCCCCGCCCCATTTCAATCGGTTCAACAATCGAGGCGGAGGAGGCGGCGGTGGCGGCGGACGACGCCAGTCTCCCATGCGCGGACGGCGGTCTCCGCGTCGCCGTTCCCGATCCCCCATCCGTCGTCGACGTCGCAGCAACAGCAGCGACAGTTCCCGCTAAAGGACGCGGCAAGATGCCTAGATCGTACAATGGACACATGATGCATGCCGATTAGCAAACACGAAGCTGATTGCACTTTTCTTTATATTATAATCCGAACAATAAACGTGTGCAAGTGCCACATCCATAATGCGAGGGACTAGTGTATAAAGCTGCACTCTGAATCTGCGAGGGGACAACCCAGCGGGTGATGGAGCTTGAAGAAGCAGCTACGCTTCTTGACGGTCAGACGGGATGGCAGGACCACTATCGGCTTGGGCCTTCGTATTCCTATGAGGTCTCCGCCGCAGAACTCAAAGACCTCATGCTTATTCCTCAGCAATGTCTTGATGCCACCGCATTCGGACTTAATGCCGCTCAACTCTTCCTTGCTCAGAGTCTGGGCAATCTGCCGCATTGGTAGCCTTCCTAGCCACTTATCCTCGTCGGCGTTGAGCAGTAGGTTGAAGATCTTCAACGCCAGGCCATCGATGATGGATCTGTCCACCTGTGTACAGTTTCGCACACTCTCCTCCTTCTCGCGCAGCTTTATTTCAGACTCTCCTGTCTTGTACTTTCTCAACTCCTCTTGCACAAAGTACTCAAAGTCTTTCGAATCCTTTGTAGTCTTTCCCTTGATTCCGATCAGGGCCAACCGCTTGGTGCTGGGTATTTTCAAGCGGTCTTGAAGAATATCAAAGCCGCATTCCTTGGTTACCTGGGTGACATAGTGGAAAAAGTCCTGGTATGCACTTATTCTTGTGTTCCGCCGCCTGAACTTGGCTCCAGATAGCTCATAGGGGCAGCACGGTAACAGGAAGAAATTTGCCTTTAAGCGCGATGCCAAGACAGGAAGCCAAGGAGAAAGCTCATCTGAATGGTTGCCTATCAACCAATCTACATCGGGAAAGTCCAAAGAGGAGCTGTTCGGCTCCACTGCCTGCTCGACGAGACTCTGCTTGGTGTCCTCAGGGTAAAGTGACCAAATCTTCCGCTTCCTTATATCGTAGCCATAGCCCTTGTAGCCCTCGGCATTGAGCACATGCACCAAGAGTCCGTTACCACAGCCAAGGTCCGCGAAAGCCTTGGGTTCTGTTTGGGTTTGGCTCCAGAGAATCATAAGATAAGCGGCGATGGCTAAGTCCTCGTAGATGAACTTCAGCGGATCCGTGGACTCTTGAGCGGTCTGCCAGCACTCCAAGAGACGCAGGGAATGCTTCTGTTTAAGCTCCTTGTACAGATTATTATACTTTTCCTCATCTACCAAAGTTAAGGACTTCTGCCTGGCCTCTTCCTGTTTAGACTGTGACCAGCTCAGAAGCTTTGGCCTCAGAACATACTCCAGCCAATTGGGATTTTGTTTGGCGTCCACTTTAAGCTGTCCCTTATGGAACCGCACCGAGAAGTCATCAATAGCATCGCTGGCAAACTGGCACTGGTAGCTTCGTTCCACAAAATCTGCAATTGAAAGTTGGCTTAGTTATTTCAATATATGAAGTAATGTACTGGGATTCCCACCCACAGTTCCGGTGGCCAGGATGTTATCCGCCAGCTTCTTGGGGAGCAATTTGTATCCTATCTTGAATCCCTGGCACGTGCGCTGGTCAGACTCCTCCCTCAGGGATTTCATCAGTTCCTCCTCACTGGACTCATGCAGCTGGCCATCCTGGTACTTCTCTACTTGCCTTACCACCACTTCGAATATCTTTTTATTCAATGCATGGTAGTTTTTGACCAGTATTCCTATCGCCTGCCAGAATTGCGCTTCTTCTACCGCCGATGTCATGGTGTCGAGACTCCCAAATATCATACCCATTTATCGATATTTTAATGCCGGAAAGTTTAAATAAATCATATCAAATATTTGATCCATTAATTATCCAGATTATCCATAAGGGTAGTCGAAGCTTGTTAATCCTTACAGATTGCAATGGGATTGATTGGTTGAAATGTAAATTGGTCGAAAACAAATTAACCAAAATCCAATTAACAGACTAGTGCATAGTTATGGACAGACCGTCATAAATAGATTGCCTCGCCTGGTGATGATGATCCAGCTTCTGGTCAAAATTAAAATGTCCTGCAAGGCATCGTAGTTCCAGCGATGGCGATCTCGATGACAAAAATGCCAGACACCGATTGGCATGAGCACATCGAGGGTATTCTATCTGTTGCGTAATCAGCTGTGACGACACGCCGCCGAATTTACCTGTTGCATTTAATAGCTTATAGATACAGATATAAATTATACAGAATGTCATTCCTGCGAAAGTCGGTGCAATTGTTGGGAGCCGTGGGTAGGCACCAGCAGCCCCTCAAAGCGGTATGTGATTGGATATACTACCCCGACTGGTGGCTATTTTTGTTTTGATCTTTCATTGGATAGATCCGAGGTGCAATCTCTGCAGCAGCACCAAGGGCCTACAGCTCGGATGCATCCAGCGAGTATGCCAACTTCCCCGGCGCCAAGGCTCCGTTCGTCAGTAAGCTAAAGTTCAATATGCCGGAGGATTACGCACCAATTCCCATTTATCGGGTAATGGATCGGGATGGCTTCATAGCGGATGAGTCCCAGGATCCGCAGCTGGGTCGCGAGGTAGTGGAGAAGATGTTCCGCGACATGGTGCTACTTAATACCATGGACAAGATTCTGTACGAATCGCAACGGCAGGGCAGGATCTCTTTCTACATGACCAATTTCGGCGAGGAGGCGTCGCACATTGGCAGTGCCGCTGCTCTGGAGATGCGTGATCTAATCTATGCTCAGTATCGCGAGGCTGGTGTCCTTGTATGGCGTGGATTCCGCATCGATCAGTTCATCGATCAGTGCTTCGGCAACCAGGATGATTTGGGCCGGGGCAAACAGATGCCAGTGCACTACGGTTCCAGGGAACTTAACTTTGTCACCATCTCCAGTCCGTTGTGTAAGTCCTCTTCACTGTGGTAGAAGGGAGTTGTTCTAATCTCTGGCGAAATTTCAGCTACTCAGATGCCACAGGCCGTGGGTGCCGCCTATGCCATGAAGCTGCGCCCAAACAACGACGCCTGTGTTGTCTGCTACTTTGGCGAGGGAGCAGCTTCGGAAGGAGATGCCCATGCTGCCTTTAACTTTGCAGCCACCCTTGGATGTCCAGTAATCCTTTTCTGGTGAGTTTGGCTTTATAAAAAGTGAGAAGAGTGTATGATCGAAGAGTAAAGAGCTTTCAAGAGATCCTTATAAACTGAATTCAAAGTTTTTAAAAGATAAATTGTAGATATGGATGACACCTCGTTTGATAAGATAAAAACTACTTTTATAAAAACTTTTGAGGTCATTCATTGTCGAATATTTGTCTTAAAAAGTGTATTTCATTACTATTTTAAATGTATTGATTTCCATTTTTAGTCGCAACAATGGCTTCGCTATATCCACACCCTCCCACGAGCAATACAAAGGCGATGGCATTGCAGGACGTGGCCCAATGGGGTACGGCATTGCCACCATTCGTGTTGATGGCACCGATGTCTTTGCCGTCTACAACGCCGTGAAGGCGGCCAGGGAGTACGTGCTTAAGGAGAACAAGCCAGTGGTGTTCGAGGCCTTGGCATACCGTGTAAGTCACCATTCTACCTCAGATGACAGTACCGCCTATCGATCGGCAGAGGAGATCGAGGTGTGGAACTCGGTGGAGCATCCCATCTCTAAGCTTAAACGCTACATGGTGCACAAAGGCTGGTTCAACGAGGAGGAAGAATCCGCATTCATTAAGGATGTGAGGAAGAAGGTCCTGAAGCAGATCGCCGTGTCGGAGAAGAAGCCCAAACCCAACTGGAGCGAGATGTTCGAGGGCGTCTACGCTGAGATGCCGCAGCACCTTGTTGAACAGCAGAAGGAGTTGCAACGGCACGTTGAGGCCCATAAGGAGTTCTATCCCCTAAAGAACTTCAAGCAATAAATCAATTGTGCCAGGACAGAAGCTATTAATCAACTCAGAAATCAAAGCGAACCGAGAGACTCGATCGAAAGTGCATTTATTATGATTAAGCTATAGGCAAAACAATTTTGTGCGGGTCCAACCCGTTTGTTATGACTCATCCCATCCCATGTGTTTCTGGAGTGGGTCGGCATCGGCTGGGAATATACTAATCACTGTTGACCCACTCTGGCCCAGCTGGTGTTATGAAAAGGTGTTAAAATTTATTAAATTTGATTTACATACAATATACATATACTGAAACAATACGAATACAAATATATACTTTTGACTTAACGCAACGCATCGCAGACAAAAACGCGGGTGGAGGTGAAGCTACCTGTTGCAGGGATGATGACTCGCTGAAGCTTGGCTGGAATGATGCGGGGGCGGGATCGCTGTTGGGCCCGGGACCGCGCCCTCTTAATTGGTGCGCAACTGGTAATCGCCGTTCTGCGTGATATATCTCACCCAGGGCAGCGCCTGGTAGCCGCTCTTCTCAATAATCTTTAAGTAACGCACCTGAATCCCCGACGTGGTGAAGTACGGAATCTCGAAGCGCACCTGTATTGGCGGCTTGCCCTCCGTATTGTCCTCGCTCTCTACGCTGGGCAGTCCAAAGTGGGCACGCATCAGATACTCTTTGCCGCCAGGGAACGACTTGATCGTCCAAATGATGGCGTTCTGTTCCGGCGCATACTTGCAGCTGCCAATGGTTGTCTTGAACTTGGGCGAGTCCGCGTCGGCGGGCACGGGAATTACGATCTCAACATTGTTGGCTGTTGATCTCCGCTTGAACTGTGACTTTGCCTTGATCATGTACTCCACGCGTGAGTGGGCGTGCCTCTCGATCACGGACTCGATCCATATCAGAGGCTTGACCTGTCAAGAAGTTCAGTTCGGTTTGAGTACCACTCAGAACGGTTCCCTAAAAATACTCACATGCGTGTTAAGACGATATGACATCAGTTCGAACTCGCCGTCCGGCGGAATAAACGAGATTGTACGGTCATTCTCGAACCGTGACAATCGAACGCACTGGTGAAACTTGACGTCCTCCAGCTCCACGGACTTGGACTTGCCGCGCCCCGTGCTCTCGAACAGAACCTTGTCATTGAGGCCGAGCCGCAGCTCGGGCATGCCGGACAGGTACACCCGCATTTTAATGGCGCCCACGATCTCACTGCGCAGCACGTTGCCGTTGGCGTTAGCCAGAAGGTTGACCGACTCGATCACGTCAAGAAAGACCTCGTTCTTGCGGTACTTAATGCCCTCGGAGCGCCACGAAACGGCATTAGTCACGGCCACCGGGATGCGGGGCTGCAGCTCCAGCTTGTGGCCCTCCTGTGTAATGTACTCCTGCAGGATTTTCGAGTCGGTGGTCTGCGGATAGCCGAAGTCCAGCAACTCATCCAGCAGCTCGTAGATGATCACGAAATTATCCCGTATGGACTCCTCCTCCAACTCCTTAAAATACTCGACGAACACCTGGGCGATCTTGTGCAGGAAGACGAACACCAGGGCAATGTTTACGTTCTTGTTGCGCGGCGTCGTGGACACGATGTACAAGTTGTTGGTCTTGATGTAGGCGAACGTTGTCTCCGCCGTCTGGAGGATGGGCGTGATTAGTCCCTCTTCCTCGCGCTCCATCAGCAGCGGCATGAATTTGTCAATGACGGCCATGTCGATGTTGTCACCGCGGTAGTTCCGCGATATTAACACCTTGCCCTTGACGTCCAGCACGAATATGGCCGACGACGACATGACTCTCGTGCCGCAAAGCTAGCCCAGCAGCTGCCACTTGTCCCAGATGTGAAATTCCAATCGGATCGAGGTCTGAGAGTCTCGACTTCCACTGCTTCCTCTGCAGGCGTTGTTCGTAGCGGGCAACTGTGGCGAGGCGTCAGTGAGTGGCGGCGGGGTGGTCGTGTGCTCCTTTTACATATTCTGCGGTCCGAGGGCCAGGAAAATGCGAATGAAAACTGGGAAATATCTTACGTCGCCCTTTCTGCTGTTTCTTCTTCTTTTTTGAGTGTTGGAAAGCGTCTGCGGGGGTGAGTGAGACCAGGTCAGGTTTGTTTATGAACTGTATCCTCCGTTGTTTTTGATATTTATTAATATTATATTCAAAATACATTTGATTTAATTAATTTATAACCGTTATAATAGGTCAAGGAACTAATTTATGGCTAGTTTCGGGAAAAAAGTTATTAGTGTTGTCAGCTTAGGTCCGTGGTGTAACTCGCACACTGAAATACGGCCACACTACCCGCCCCAGACGCTGTGCATTCTCAAAATTAGTTAATTATTTACTTCGGCGAGCATGCAAAATCCGAGTGTCACAATCGAACGCAAACGCGTCGACTGCAGCGCCCTGCCGAAAGGATGGCAGCGCGAAGAGGTCCGCAAGTCCGGCAGCAGCTCCAATAGCAACGCCAGCGCCTCCAACACCACCACCGCCAGCAACAACAACAACAATAACAAGGTGGATGTTTTTTACTACAGGTAAAGACGCTGAGGAGCAGCGAGCAGGCTGGGGAAGTGGGGATGGGAAGCATCCAATCACGGAACACTGCACGCCGTCGAATCGGATATATGTTTACTCACTTTCACTACCTTTCTGTTATTACATCCGCATAAACACAACACACCACACGACCCCACATCACACGCACATGTATACACACACACACACACGATCCACCTAACCCACCTCCACCGCCGTGCCCATGTTCCGCCACAGTCCCACAGGAAAAAGGGTGGAGAGCAAGCCGCAGTTGGCGCGCCAATTGGGCGGCGAATCCTTTGACATCGCCAGCTTTGATTTCCAGTCCGGCAAGATGCAGCAGCAACCACACCACCAGCGGGCGCTGCCCTCGCCCTCCATTTCGCTGTACCGCTGCAGCGCCATGCCGCTGCCGTTGACGGGCGGCGGTGGTAGCAGTGGCCACGGTTCAGCGGCCAACGCGCTCAAGCGGAAGTTGGCCCGCTCGCAGCTGGGCAACCAGGCCAGTGCTGGATCAGGCTCGGGATCAGCTCCAATACCAGCAACGGCGGCAGCAGCAACCGCCTCCTCCTCCTCGCCCGCGTCAGCCAACCGCCAGCAACAGCAGATTGAACTCAGGTAGAGCCAAGTGGAGGAGCACTTGGCTCTTGCATGCCAGCGTGTCCTGTCTTGTTTTCGTAGCCTTCAACCCAGACCGCAAAGTCTACAGCTGGAGCAGCACCAAATCTAAATCAAAACCGCATCAAAATCCCAAAATCGAATCACAATTGGCAACCAAATCGCTGTAGCTCTGTGCCACCTGAGATTTTTTGTTATTGGTCCATCTGCATGTGTCCACTTTATGTTTTGTTTGTGTGCTGTTTGGTGTACTATCCTATTTTGCCCAACTCCATACTAATTGGTTACGTTTCCGATCCCTTACAGCCGGGCCCTGCGCACAGATGTTTCCCTGGTGCCACCCATCCGACAGACTGCCTCGATCTTCAAACAACCGGTAACGGCAATTCGAAACCACAGCCAGGACCCTGGAAAGGTGAAACCCGACGCCAAACATGGCACTCAGGAGAAGCCCAAACAGTTGTTTTGGGAGAAACGACTGGAGCGACTGCGCGCCTGCCACGACAATGGCGAGGAACTCGATGACATCTCACTGCCCAAAACCATACGCACTGTTGGCCCCAATGTCAACGAACAGACCGTCCTCCAATCGGTGGCTACCGCTCTGCACATGCTCAATGCCGGCGTACACGGCCAGAGTTCGACAAAGGCTGACTTGACCAAGAATGCGATGGCGTTCATGAATCCCGAACAGCCGCTCATGCATGCGGTGATCATCTCCGAAGACGACATACGGAAGCAGGAGGATCGGGTCGGTGTGGCGCGGCGAAAGCTGCAGGATGCACTCAAGACATGAGTGCCAAGCTTCTCCCTCATGCATCTACATCTACCGATTCCATTGTAGACTCGTAACATCTCTATTTATCGTATTGACTCCCTACTATTCGAAATCTACTTGTAAGTCTAGCGCGTAATAAACCAAAACCAACTCCAATCCGAGGGACACTGGTTTTCTTTATTGGAGATACATAGATGTAGGTTTTTGGTACTTTCTCTTTCATATTAACAAGGTGTTAGTTATTCCCTTTATTACGCTCAGATGGTTTCAAAATGCTATTTTACACAAGAAGGTTTAAAATGATTTCGAATCATAATACATACATATATCGAATATGTATATTAGATTGGGCCGATTTCTCTAGGATCCATCAACTGGAGGAAAGTAACCTTGTGATTATTCTTTCGAAAACTTCAGACAATGTTCTTATTTATAAGAGAAAGCCAAGAACAATTGCCATTAATAAAATAAATAAATTTTCACTACCAGATAAGATAGTTTGGTGAATTGTCACAAGATTATTTTCCAACGCTTTGATTCTCCTCCTCATAAATCGACCCTATCTAATGCTCACGCCTTCGTTGTGCTTCTTCCCCTCATTTGTATTTAAAATATACATATATACTACATAGAGATAAACAGAGAGATGGTGGTGGGAGGTGCAGTTAGTCGAGGCCTTCCTCCATATCATCGTCATCATAGTCTATGCCATCGTAGTCCGTTGAGGAGCGTGCTGTTAGCTGGAAGGGATGAAGCAATCGGATTTTGCAATTAACTGAGAATTTTTTGCGGCACCTTTGCGGTGTGGTGCACGTTGCGAGTCTACACGACTGTCTGGAGCCAAATGAAGAACTTGAACCAAAGCTATCGAATAAGCTCCAGGCAGTTATGGATTTTAATCTAAAGAATCAAGTCGACGCTGCCCACCTGGTTATAAATTCCACGCCATGCGGCGAATGCTCCCATGGCCAGCACGGCTCCAACGCCGGCAATGACTTTGGTATTGAACTCCGACTCGACAAACTTGTGTTCCGAGGGCGTTATACTCTCACCCGCTCCACTTGAAGTTTTTGTGAGCTTCGTGGAGCTGTAGCCCTCGTTACGGAATATGTCCTTCGTGATGCGGTTGATGAAGTTGACGAGGTTTTGGCAGCCCTTGATGTGGTTCTGGAGTGGATTGTTGGGCAGTGTGGTCTTGAAGATGATGGCTAGGTAGCTATATACAATGGCATCGAACTCGCTGTAAGTGTCGCCAAAGAACCAGACTTTACGACCCAACTTGCGGGAGAGCACATTCACGCACTTTTTGGCATTGACAACGAGCTGAAAAAAAGGATCACATATTAATATAAATGAAGACAGTAATAAGGACGGTTAAAGTGATGAAATGTGGATACCGTTCGGTGATATTAACACTCATCAAATTAACTCGCTTAAGTCTGACGCAATTTTAGGTAACACTGAAAATGATTCCATGATGAAATCAACTACGACTTTGTACTTACGTAGTCTCCTTCGTGCTTGGCCAACTTGTCGTTGACATCGAAGCCAGCCATTACCTGGACCACGTCGCAGGCTTCGCGCTGGTAGGACGACGGGTAGTAGAAGTTGAAAGGGAATGGAGTTCGCTTGGCGTACAGACCGCGCGTAGTCGAGTCGAAATTGTGCGGCTCGCCGTATAGGAAGTAGTGGTAGTAGGCATGCAGATTGGTGAACACCCAGTTGGCGTAGGCGCTGGACAAATGCTTTTGTTTTGTGCTTAAATGCGCATCAATCGGGTAACCCTGGAGGAGTGATTGAACGAAGCGAGTCGGTATATACACACATACAAAAAACATAAATAGACCACGCAGTTTGTTCACCCGGCATTGTTTTCGCCACTCACCTCGAGATCCAGCACGCGCTTTATTTGCCTGTAGCCCGGGTACTTTTGGTTGCCAATCTGCAAGTAGGGCAGCTTCCCTGCCCCGGACCGCAGCGGATTGGAGCTCGTCTGCACGTTCATCGGGCAGCGGGTGAATCGCAGGAGGCACTGTAACCGGGGAAAAGGATCGCTCGGTTCAGTGATAGCGATAATACGGCGTGCTGCTGCTGTGTGATGCAACGGAACTTACCAAAGCACGTAAACATTCAAAGTCAATGGACGGCAGCCCCCATTCTCCTTTGTACACATGCAGCGTCGCCCCCAGTGTCATCTCCATCTTCGATTTCGCGGTCGTCTAGACTCTTGTATTTTGCTGGTTTTCAACAGTGCACCTGCATGGTAGCCATAAAAATTTAAATCCAAAAATATATGTCAGCTTTCTTGCCGACTGCTGCGTTGATGACTGATAACTTCACAATCGATATATCGGCGCTGTATCGATTGTGGGCCAGTGGTGGGCCGCTACTTGTACTTGTAAAGGTTGGAAAAATTATAATTTTAATTAAAAAGATCTCACAAATCGTCCTATTCATAAAAAAAGGGGCAATAAATTATGCTCTATGAAATTAAGCTATAAATAAGAGCTATATTGTGAAGGCAATCGCCCAATCGCGGTTATCACTATCGACAACGGGTCACCTCTAACACATCTGTTTGCGAAAAAATTAAATTGTTTAGTTTTTGCTAAATTAGCTGGAAAAAATGAATCTGATAAGTGGTATAAAGCTGTACATCGATAAGATGTGCTCCGAATCGGGGCCGGGCATGAAAATCATCCTGCTGGACAAGGAGACGGTGAGGACTAGACCAGGAAATCGGGGCAAACCAAACCTTCCCGTATTGATGAACTACCACATAATTACAGACCAGTATCATCTCGATGGCCTTTAGCCAGTCGGACATGCTGCAACGGGAGGTGTACCTGTTCGAGCGACTAGATTCTGGAAGGTCCAACGAGCGGCTGAAGTACCTCAAGTGCATCGTCTTCATCCGGCCCACCAAGCAGAACATTCAGTTGCTGGCTAACGAGCTCCGGAATCCAAAATATAGTGCCTACTATATATGTAAGCAAGGCTGAGATATATGAAATACAATACTATACCCTCTTAAAGATTTCAGCAACATTATACCCAGAACGGATATCAAATACTTGGCGGAGTGCGACGAATCCGAGTCGGTGCGGGAGGTGAAGGAATTGTATGCGGACTATCTATGCGTAAACCCCAATTTGTTCTCCCTCAACATACCGCACTGCATGGCGAACCTTAACTGGTTGCCGGATGCACTGACCCACAGCATGCAAGGCATTACTGCGGTACTGCTTTCCCTGAAGCTGAACCCTGTGATCCGGTACCGAGCCGGTTCCCAGGCCGCCCAGCTACTGGCCAAGCTAATCTACGAGCAGATCACCAAGGAATCGAGCCTGTTCGACTTTCGTTCTAATATTGATGGCGCCGCTCCTCCATTGTTGCTTATTCTGGATCGAAGGGACGACCCAGTGACGCCGCTATTGCATCAGTGGACGTATCAGGCGATGGTGCACGAGTTGCTCCAAATCAATAACAACCGTGTGGACCTCTCCAACCGACCCAACGTACCCAAGGACTTTAAGGAGCTGGTTTTGTCTGGTGATCAGGATGATTTCTATGGCAACAACATGTACGCTAACTACGGCGAGATCGGATCTACCATTAAGCAACTGATGGAGGAGTTCCAGCGCAAGGCGAACGACCACAAGAAGGTAGAGAGCATAGCGGACATGAAGAACTTCATCGAATCGTATCCGCAGTTCAAGAAGATGTCCGGCACGGTACAAAAGCATCTGTGCGTCATCGGCGAACTTTCCGCGCTAAGCAATAAGCGCAATCTGTTTGAAGTCTCCGAGTTGGAGCAGGAGATGGCTTGCAAAGCGGAGCACTCGGCCCAGCTGCAGCGAATAAAGAAGCTGATAGCAGACGAAAGGGTCTCCGTAGAGGATGCCCTTAAGCTGGTGGCTCTCTATGCGCTGAGGTACGAACGGCACGCCAACTGCGACACATCCGGACTGCTGCAGATTATAAAGACGCGTGGCGGACGAGCTGCAGTGGTGCCAGCTCTGATCGAGTATGCTGGAACCCATGTGCGGCAGGGGATCTTTTCAACATGGTGCGAATTACGGACGCCGTAAAGCTGACGCGCAATCTAATCAAGGGTCTCAAGGGCGTGGAGAACGTCTTCACCCAACACACTCCGCTGCTGAAGGAGTCCCTCGAGGATGTGTTTAAGGGTCGCGAACTGGATCCCCTATATCCAGCCATCAATTCAGAGCTCGTGCCATTCCGGAGACCCCCGCAGGAGGTGGTGGTCTTCATCATTGGCGGCGCCACCTATGAGGAGGCTTTAGCCGTACACCAACTGAACAATGCCGGCTACAGGGTCATCTTGGGTGGCACCACCATTCACAATTCCCAGACCTTTATCAGCGAGGTTCTGGCCGCCACCAATGGCATCCAATTTAAGCATACCAAATCCATGATAAAGTACTGTTCCACTGATAATATCTAAGACACAAAGTGACTAGCAACAATTGTATTGTTATCTATTTATTAATTATCCCTTTATGTGCATAATCCATTTACTAATCGATGTAATCAGTATGCAGTTTCGATAAGAAATTTATAACATTGGAGTTTATCGGTTAAATAACTTTGTACAACCTTTGATTATAACAAAAGCTGGTGGACACGGATTTTCCGAGACATAAAGTACCGCTTTTAAGAAATTTAAACCTGTAATTGACTAGGGGTTCGGAAAATGAGAGAAAACGTATATTTCTTTAGCTGATTCCATGTAATATAACCATTTAATCCATTGGACCACTTCCTTTTTAAGAGTATTCCATGTAATATATATGTGTAAATGTATTTATTTGTGTTGTCCTGGAAGGGATCTCAGGGCAACGGCTAAACGCGAAATATATTTCGATATAAATATGAATGTAAACGCTTTTGTAATTATTTCCACCCCCTATAAGGAAAGCAAGTCCTTGGCAACTCCTCAAGCTTGACAACGATTCATGTTCACTCAAACAAAAGCCATTTCAGTGGCTTCAAGATTGAAAAACCATCATGTCCAGCACCTATTTTAATGATATCTGGCACCAGGCCCAGCATGAGTGTGAGCTGCTGTCCACTATCGACTATGAGAGGCAGCACCAGGATGTGGAAACAACGGTGGCCACTATGAATGCCGCCGTGGGCTCTGTGGCGGCAGATGCGGACGCAAAGGCTCTGTTGCAGTCGAGCTTGTACGAATTCTATCTGCGGTATATTTGTCTGAGCAATCGTCTGGAGGATGTATACGACAATGTGAGTAAACTTACTCGGGAGGCAGTGGCTCAATAGATTCAGGTTTTCATGTTTCCTACAGATGATACAGCCGCAGAAGCGGCAGTTGGTCCGGAAATTGCTGGACGCTTGTCTGGGCCGAGTGGTTGAGCTCAAGCACGATCTCGTTAACATTGATCTGATGGAGTTCAGCTATAATGACGATGTGGTGGAGCGTTTGCGCCTCACGCCCATGGAGACGGAGCTGCGTATTCCTCGATATTTTCTCCGAGAGCGGCAGCAGGAACTCGAGTTCCGTAAGCGAACCATGCAGGAGATTCTCGTGAAGCTCGGATGGTTGGAGGAGCATGAACTGGAGGAGACCGTCACAACCGAGATCGAAGCCATACGGATGCTCCAGATGCATGAAAGGGCGCGTCAAGGTCGGCTGCGTGCCCATTTCATGAAGGAGATTCGCATTCTCAAGGAGAAGGGAAAATCAGAGGAGCGAAGTGAGAAGGAACGCAGTGACTCCGGTCTTTTGGCCGCCATGAAGATCCAGAAGATGTGGCGCGGCCACACGGCTCGACGGATTACCCGCCGTCGCAAGATGGAGGAGATGATCCTGATTGGCATGTTGCCCCCACCGCCGGCGGTGGTCAAGGAGCGGGCTGAGAAGCTTGAGAAGCTGCAGCACAACGAGAAGCGCTACCAGGCGCAGGCTCTTTACGGGGAGCAGTTTGAGGAGCGGCAACGGGCCGTGCAGGAGGAGATTAGGACGAAGCACGGCGCCAGCATGAAGGAGGACATCGCGGACGAAATCCGGGCCTGGGTGAAGGACTGCTACGAGAAAACTGGAAAGCTGCCTGACTTCCCATCCGAGGATCAGGGCGGTTCCCTTCACATCTTCAGTAGACCTGGCACTGAGAGCGAGCACAGCCGTTCCTCGGCTCGCTCCTCTAAAGAATCGCGCAAGACCAAGGACAAGTCCAAGTCGCCGGCTCGCAGTGGCGATCTGAACGTCAACGAAAACCAGGAGGAGGAAGTCAGCTTCCAGCCGGCGCCATCGGTTTGCTTGCCGGACATCAGAGCGGAGATTGATCTGTGAGTAAAGATGCGTTAAGGAGCTTATTAATCATTTCTACCAAATCGTCAGCTTCAACGACACCTGGCGTGACAAGGATGAGACGGGTGTGCTCTGCCAAGCGGCCTACGAGGACATGATCTACAACGATAAGTACCAGGAGGTGGAGCTGGAGTTCCGTCGTGCCGTCGACGACGTGATGCGCCAGGAGATAGAGCTGCTGCAGACGGCCGTCGGTAAGAAGGTGAAGAAGAGCAGCAAAAAGACGCGACGCTCGGGCAAGAAGAGCAAGAAAAAAAAGGAGAAAGATCTGACTCCGGATCGCACCACAGAGTCACTGTACGAGGAGCTGGTCACAAATGGCATCATTCGCAAGTATCCAGAGCTCAGACTTAAGCAGTTCTTGGGCGATAAGGCCTTGACCGCGCGAAATGGCACGAATCCGTCGCCGGGCGACGTCCGCCAGATCCTCACGGAGTACTGCATCCTGCCACTTGGCTCAGAGGCCATCCATAATTGCACTCCGCTGATTCGTTCCATCCTGCTGGCTGGGCCCAGGGGATCTGGTAAGAAGGCCCTGCTTCACGCCATTTGCACAGAGGTGGGAGCCGTCTTGTTCGACTTGACACCGGCTAATATTGTGGGAAAATATCCTGGAAAATCGGGTCTTATCATGCTCATCCATCTGGTGCTGAAGGTGTCCCGTTTGCTCCAACCGGCTGTCATCTACATGGGCGATGCCGAGCGGCCGTTTATGAAGAAGATACCCAAGACGGATCGCACCGATCCCAAGAGACTGAAGAAGGATCTGCCTAAGTTGATCAAGAACATTGCGCCCGAGGATCGGGTCATCTTCGTGGGTACCTCCAATCTACCCTGGGAGGCGGATCAGAAGCTGCTGCAGTCCGTCTACAATCGGTTCATCTACATTCCACGACCGGACTATGGGGCCATGTCGCATGCATGGAAAACATTGCTTCAGTGGGTGATTTCTGTTATTCCTTTCGAGATTTAAGTCATTGGTTTTGTTTTTTCCACAGCGAATATTCCGGTGGCATCTCCAACCTGGACACTAGCGCCATGGCCAAGATATCTGATGGTTATACCATTGGAGCCATCGATGCTTGTCTGAAGGAGGTGATGACCTGTAAGAGGAAGCTTCAGCTACGCACTCAGCCGCTGACCAATGCCGAGCTCATCAATGTCCTCTGGTGAGAAAGATTTGATTAAAAAATTCCTAAACGCTCAAGTTTTCTGCTTAAAGCTCTCGGGATCCCGTATACCGGGAGGAGGAGGAAGCCTTCGAGTCCTGGTGGTCCAAGACGCCTCTAGGTCGTCGTCGTCAGCGGTTTCTGGAGTTGGAGGAGGAGCGTTTGTTGGAGGAGCAGGCTCAGGCCGCCAAGCAGGGCAATGGTAACAAAAAGAAGGGTCTGAACTGAAGGGTAACCGTACATTTTTAAATATTAAAACAAAGTTATAGTTATAGTCCATAAGGGGAAAATATGATATTGGAGTAAAAATAGTAATTATTGCTTACTTTTGACTTCATCAGATACACCATAGAGTTTTTATCTTAGCTTGTAAGTGAAATCCTTTTTCCCACATTTCAAGTGCACTTCATGAACAGGCAATGGGAGCGTGTCCTGGTCGTCGAGCAACTGCTGCAACTTATTGAGCTTGCTATTAAGCAACTCCTCCTTATCGCCCACGCACCACAGGAGACTGACATGGAACGAGGCCGGATTGTAGAACTGCTGCAGCCGGTAGTCAAGCATCACCTGGTCGATGGGCTGAAGGATGGCAGACATCTTCTCCGCAAATGCGGCGTCCAATAGGGCTGAGACGAACGTCCTTGTTCGCTCGTCGTTTGTGTAGATACGGAGGCCTTGCAAGGTGGCGTTAAAGCTAAGAATCAAGGAAGAATCTACATAGTTTTTGGGTCATCTACTGTGGAGTGCGGACAGACTTACCCCGTGGAGCTGTTGAGTGCCGTTTGCAAGGATCGTGAAAACTCGTCAATCTGATGGTATTGCAGCACCACTGTTCGACTCAAGCTGAGATGCAGCGCCTCATTGGGTTGCAGCTTAACTTCAGAGTCCAAATGCTCCATAGCTTCTGTCTGGAACTCCTCCAGTTGCTCGGCACACGCAGTTGCCGGTACATAGACGTAGGTGGCCCAGTTTCCACGCTCGTGTTTGAATGTCCGGATGCGTCCACCGTGTAGAGCCGGATCATCAACTACATCGTCGACGAACTCCTCGGGTTTGGGTTTCTTGGGGCCCAAGAGGGCGGCAGCTGTGGGCAAGGCGGGTCTTTGACGGTTAAATGTAGAAATCAACAGGCGAAACGAATAACAACTTTACCTTTTGAGACTGCTTAGAATATCTGTGAGAGCTGTATTGGAGGAGCCTTCGTCTTCAGAGGTAGAGGAACTGCTGGAGCCATAGTCAACGAGTGCCATTTTGCAGGATACTTGTTTTATTAGTTAGTTTTCTTTAATTTAATAAGACTAACTAAATTTCTGGGTAAATTGCCGCTTTTTTGATTCCATTTATCGATAAGCAAAGTTAGTGATGGAGGCATGGATATCTTATCGTTATCAGCTATAATTGTGTGTAAAAAGATATCGATAAATCGATACATGACCGTTAGAAAATTCAAAGATTGTATTCGAAGGGACTAAACATTTATTGTACTTAATTTTGAAAAGCCTAAAGATATTAATTCATATAAATCTTTTACAAACTAGCTTCAATAGCGGCTGGCTTCTGCTCGGCACTCTTCTCCAACTTGGACTGCTCCCACCTGTAGTTATAGGCACGGCCCAGTTGGAAGAGCTGCGTTAGACTCACAAATAGATTAACCGCGAAGAGGCTGTAGTTTTTCGGTATGATGACCAGTGAATAACGTGTCCATATCAGGTTTGTTGCCCCCAGCGCCAGACATCCGTTGGGAGAGATCATGTCCGCAGGACGCGTCAAGTCACTGAGACCGGCGATAACGAGGCCCTGTATGGGGAGATTGAATGGATCCAGAGATAAGAGAGATCACAGACAGATAGCACTATAAGTATGTATAATCCAGCATAGTAAGTCCGTCCCCCATTGACTGAAAATCTTGATGGCGTGTTGCCAAAGCTTTCTCTCCCGGCAATGTTATGAAAAATTCCATGGCATTAAAAACCGCAAACTCATTTAGTTATCAGAATCTCGCGCGTGGGGACGGAAAAAAATATATATTCCAAGAGAGTCAGACAAATGCGCATTTATCGCGAGTCTGAACAGGTTGTTGAGAAATAAACAAATAATAATAAAATACAATATACGCGCTTTTAGTAGCATTCTGCCCACAGATTTTTTATCAGCCAGCCGATAATGAAAAATGGCGAAGGACGATGGGTTTAAAATTACGTAATATCAAGGGGGTTCCCGACTTACCCACTTCACCAGCGGTGCCCAGAAGAATATGGTCTTGGGACCTAAGGACATAAAGATTCGTTAAAATCCAAAATAAATAGAGGATTCTTCCACTCACCAGCTGGATGCATCCACAGAGGACGCATCTTGGCGGGTACGAATTTGTCACAGACTCCAATCAGACCATTATAGGCTCTTGAGTGAAGTCCTTTTCCGACAGAAGCTGTCGCTTTGGACGGCGTTGGAGAAGGTGTGTCGGACATTATGGACTTTAACTACAATTTCCTGGTAATGTAAAGTCCAAGCCATTCAGATTCCAGCGCGAAACTGATGTGGTTTTTCCAGTTAAGAGAGGAAAATGACTGAAACCTACCTCTCCCTAGTCAAGTGTTTGTTCAGCGTGATTAGAATGTCAGTCGATTGGGGATGCGATAATGATCCCCTTGTCCAGGTGGGAAGTGGGCGCCCAACAGCTCTAGCGAAATGCCCATCGACAACTGAGTCCGGGGTTTACACATATGTTTATGTTTCACTAGGTTTATTAGCTTGGCTCCGTTATCACCCAGAATTATCAACAAATAGTAGAGGCCGCCGGTCACATCTTCGCACTTCCCCCTTTATCAGGCATAAACTATGAAAACACATCTTGCTTAATTAATACAAGTTATAAGCCCCATATTCGCTAATTTATATAGACATCGGTGTGAGTTTACGTGTTTCCATTCATTTATCTTGAATTAATTTGAGCTTGCAGGGACTAATACAAGTCAGATAAAACATATGTGCAAATTTTTAGAGCGCACATGGCGTATGGGTAAATAAAGTAAGAATAATTTTGTCTGGAAAAAATATAATAACTTAGATAATTTAAGACATATAAATTACTTGAGAATGTTTATATGCATTTACTGTTTTTACTTATGGGAACGAATCGAAAATCTATAAAACTAAGCCTGAATGTTTACATTCTTTAAGTCATATTTTTAACTGACAATTTGTCGACAACTCAAAGTTTAAGAAACTCATAACTCACCTAACAAGGCATTAATTTTAACTCGGAAAGCCTTTCTCTGCTAGTTGTTATTAGGTTAATAAATCTACATACTAAATTTAACATTAAATAAAATTCAAATATTGATCAATTTTTGACAATTTTGACGATGTAACCCCTTATAAAATTTTGAAAAATTGTAAAATGGTTTTTTCAGTGTGAGACGGCTAGATCGATTTGGCTGTGGATACAGATTTATGATTTAGAGGGGTCGGAAATGACTTCACAATTTACAAGCTTCGGACTAAATTATAATAGAATATAATACAAAAAAATAACATAATTCATTCATATGACAAATCGGAGTTTAAAAAACTTATAACTCAGCCAAAAATTCATTAATTTCAATTCGGGAAGCGTTGTTATGCTAGGTATTATTAGTTTAATAAATCTGCATACTCAATTTAAAATGAAAAATTTTTAATGATTTTATTTATTTTCATTTTCTTTCATTTTTATGTAAAAATGAAAAATTTGGGAAATTTTTTTATTCTGCCGGAGATAGCCAGAAAGATCATCATCATCATCATCAACAGGAGGCTGATGAAGAATATATATGATTTATAGGGTCGGAAATGACTCCTTCACAAATTTTCAAGCTTCTGACTTAAATTTTGATACCCTGCCAGGGTATTAAAAAGCTTTAATATAACGCTTTGGCGCTATGCTAATTAAATTACTTTTTCGTTTTTTTGAAATTAGTTAAAGGGGCTTATTAAATGAGCTTTTCACTATCTAAAAGTAGTTTCAAAAGTTAAATGAGATCCAACCCAAGAATTAAATACATTCACTTTCTTTACTGGCTACAGTCTTACAATATATCGATTTATTTTTGTTGACAATCACAAAATGTCCAATAATGCTCGTATCCATAAAACTATATACGCAAAAGCCTCCACATATCCAAACTTAAGTAATACGAATCACGTCGATAAGGCGGTAAAAACCATAAATAATAATGGTCAACAGTTTGTAAAACGCAAATACCCGATCTGCGAACACAGCTCCTCCTCCATCCTAATCCTTTCGTTTACGTTGTGCGGTGTGGGATCTGTATATACATCATTTCGATCTAAGTCTATGTAGGTTAAGGGGGACAGCACCGGTATTCGATTCGATGATATGCCTCTACTTCTGTGCCACTGGTTTGAGTTCCTGCTCCTTCTTTAGCTTCTCCTGCTCCTGTTGGTATTGGTAGGCCCTGCCCAGCTGCACCACCTGGGTGATGCCCACGAAGAGATTCACGGCGAACAGGCTGTAGTTCTTGGGTATGATCACCAGGGAGTAGCGGGACCAGATGATGCCAGTGGCGGCCAGAGCGGCGCATCCGGACACGGAGATTGAATCGGCCGGACGGGCCAGATCACTAAGGCCGGCAACAACGAGGCCCTGGAAGGGTAAAAATATAATTAGAATGCGATTTTCATGGTTTTGGTAAGGCTTTAAGAAATGATTCCTCTTTTATAGTTTAGAGTAGTTATGAACGGCAACTATATTGAGCTTAATTTTCCTCGTTTAATTAAATAATATCCTTTAAAATTAGTAAAAAACTAAATAGCTTCTATCTATCCACCATTTAAATGTGAACTTCTGCATAAAGTTATTCCTGTTTTAATTACAAATAAGCTCCTTGTAAATAAGCTGTTTTATTAATTTTTATGAAACAGAAAAGATTTACCATAAAATAAATTACAATGTCCTAAATCTGAATTAAGAAAAAATTCTATTACAATGGAAGCTTCTATCCTAGTTACTCGTGTCTATATTTTTATTATTAATATACAGACAATCGGATATATGTATGTTTTTAAAAGTATTTTGATAAAACTTGGCATCTTTTCGTTTATATACGGTATAAAATAATTTATCGTTTTGCGAAAATTTGTCATTTATATTATATTTATAGGAACTCTTCGTCAAAACAAAGGCTTTTGTCTTATTTTGGTTTTTGTTTTTGGAAACGATCACTTAAAATATTTGATTTAAAAAAGTCTTTTAATAATGTTTGCCAATTTGCATGTTTTCGAAAACTTTTTCCCGGGTTTCACTCATTGCCAGACAACAATCGCAATCCAGTCACTCGCACAAACCAACTGACGGTTATCAAGCGTACAGGTTTCTCGGAATAATCAAAATAATTTCATTTAATGGCACCTGCGCACAGATTTGTCTACCGTTGTTGCGGATTTATTGCGTGCGAATGTGTTGGTGCGATAATGAAAATCAACGAAGGTCGCGACGCGCTGTCCAAGTTATGTAATCCCTTTAGTCAGATTGTCAACTCACCCATTTGAAGACGGGCGCCCAGAAGAAGATCGTCTTGGGACCTTTGGTGGGAAGAAGCAACAAGTTAACGATAATTATGCCCATAGGTAATCAAATTTGAGGACCTACCAGCTGGATGCATCCACAGTGGTCGCAGCTTGGCGGGCACAAATTTGTCGGCCGCTCCAATCATCCCATTGTAAAGCTTAGAGTGGAGACCCTTTCCCGCCGAGGCTGCCGCCGTGGACGCTGGCGGTGGTGGTGGGGGCTGGGGCACGGGTGGCGGGGGCTGAACGGCGGCGGATGACATTGTGTGTTGTTTGTGCGTTGCTAATTAATTCAGAGACAGAGACACCTCCAAACGCGATTGCTGGCGATGAGAAAATAAAATCTAGTAGGAAACGCCACGATACAATTACGTAGGTAGTCGCTTCGGCAGTCAAAGCGCTCGGGCTTTGCTTCAGTGTGCGGACAGAAATTAGTCTAACATTAACCCTTATGCAACATGACATGTACAATAAAAATCTATTTTAATCTTACAATATATTTTAGAATTAAGAACTTAAAAAAACAAGAGCTCGCAACACGAAAACGAAAATAATTCCTCATTTGCACCTAAAAATTGTTATAAATTAATATATAAAATAAATGTTCAACTCGTTTTATTACAAAAATAAATTTATTGCCCCATACATCATCTAAGGGTTAATCAACACATTCTACTTTTATCCCGCTCGCACTTACTAAGTTGAGCCCCTCTCACTCGCACTCATTGCTATAATTGAAGAGGTACCAGTTTTTTCCGACGGGACTACCTTGGGAGAAGCTAAACAACCACAGTAGCGGAGCTTTGAGAGAAACCGGAAGAGGAGAGGAAGTGACAAAAGACCTGGAGAGAGCGCACACCCAAAAAGCTAAACAGCTGGCGGAATTCAAAAGCAAAATCGTAATTTTTTAAAGTGGATTACTAGTAAAAAATAAATTAAGGTTAAGATTTAATACCTTAATGATGATAATAAGCTATACATTTTGTTTTCTTATATTTATATTCATATTTTATTGATACAAATTTGATGACTGCTGCCAGCTGTAAGAGAACGTTAAAGCTAACGTGTTTGTAAGCTCCCACGTTAATCGACTCATGTCTGGTTTCATTCTCTGTGTTTTCTAAAAATGTGCTAAAATTGTTTTTTATCTATGCAACAATATTATAGAGTATAGATATATGGAACTTTTAAGGAACAGGTTTTTGTCCGATGGGAAGTTCACTATGTGCAACATCCTTGACCTTGATCTTGAAGAGTATGTGCCAATTTCCGCAGCTAAGTGTTGACGGAAGCAATGGTGTCTTTATTTAATGCAATACATTCACAACTGCAAAATTTCTAAAAATATCTCAATTGCTTTTTATTTTTTTTATTTAGCAATCACGCGATATTAGCGATGGGAAAATAGAAAGCATCAAAGCATCTCTAAAGCTTATGTATATATGTACATAATACGCATTTGAACATTTTATTTAGCGAATTGTTTAGTAAACAGAGCTATAATAATAATTTTTCATTATATTCATTATTATTATTGTCATACACTATAATCATTTAATATCCCAGAAGCTTTCATGTTATGTTCGTTTGGATTTAAGTATCATCTCTATGATTAACGCCAAAAAGCTTTTGACTATGGAATATAAAAATATGTAAATAAATAATAATTTTGACAACCTCTGAACATATTATAAAGTCTAGAAAACTATTACTTTAATTAATTAATTACATGTATAAACATTTAAATAAAACGTGACTCAATTTGATGCGAAATGTATAGGTATGATGTATATATGTATGTATGCTGTATTATTATTATTAACAACTGCCACTTTCGAAAGCTTTTGTTTATATTTAAATGATAAATTAATTTACGTACTTGATTTATCACTTGTACTCACCTGAAAAACATTGGCTGCTGCTGAGTCACTAGTTTAAACAATTTCCATTTCGATCTTGTCCAGCGTCTTGGGCAACGCCCAACCCTCTCTGTTATGATCGCTTATAAACATTGCCTGGATCGGTGTGTTTCCATGCGAAATTGTTTTTTAGCTGGCAGAGGAGCTAGTCGACGAGACAGCTATTGCGCATTCACGAGAAACGTGCTTTAATGACGCACAAATCCGAATAAAAGCAAGTCGGGCGACACCTTAAGTGCCTTCCAGGGAAACGCGAAGTGATCAATCCACTTGTACTTATGGTTTTCTGCTTAACTTTATCGCATTCAATTTCATGTTAGAAATGTATACATATGTATGTAATTTCAATTACAAATCAAAGGCGTACATATTTAAATTATTTCATATAAATCAAATAGTTCTACATTTTTTAAAATATTTTTTCTTTTGCTTTCCTGTGTGTGTTTATGGATGATCTTTAGCAGAGTCGCTTCCGCCGGATTAGTCCTTGCCTGAACATTCACACACCAAAAGGGTACGTGTCTGGATTTGTAAACGTTGATAACACAGAATTGAGAGAAGCTAAACGGCTGCAGCGGGTCTTCGTAGTGTTTTCCCCCAAGTTCTAGTTCTAGCTTCTCGATAGAACTCGGCTGCCTAATTGCTGCTGCGTTGTGGACAAATTATAATGCTATTATTATGTAAATTGGTTTGCGGCTGGCTCGTCGAATTTTCATACACAACCGACTGTGTACGGCTAAACGCCAAAAAGTGTATGTTATGTTGCACACGTTTGGTCTCCATATAGCTGCTACTGCCTCCGGATTGGATCGTTAAAAGTTGAAAGAGTTCATTGGTAGTTTGTCGGCATTCGGATCAAAGTTGTATTGTGAGCCGTCAGAGGTGGGTGCCATGTTGGTCTGCTCACCCTGTAAACAAATCAAAAAGGCAGGTTGACATCGGTTCTCCTTTGGCGAGTGAGATTTCACACCACTTACCTCATCCGTAAAGTATTGATCGATGATTTCGTAGGCTAGTTTGTAGATTTCAACATTTTCGTGGCTCTGCAGCCGTTCAATCTTGGCCAGACCCTCGCACTCCTCGATAAAGTTGGCCACCGTCTCCACATGAGAATCGGCCACTTTGAGCATATTGTTAAGACCATCAAGAACGACCTATCGGGCAAGAGATGAACGAGATTAGTAGAGACAATGGAAACCACACCTTATTCCGGTGCTTACATTGATAACTTGCGTGTCCTGGCACGAGAGGAGATCACAGAATGGCGGAATTACGCCCTCCTTGATCAGCGTGAAGACCTGATCCCTGTTGCCGCTGATGGTAAGATTGCTAATGGCCCAGGCGGCCTCCTTCTGTGTCTGGAACTCGCCCTTGCTCAAGTTTTCGATGATCTTGGGCAACAGACCCACGTTGATGACGGCCTGCACCTGCGACTGGTTGCCGGCGGTGATGTTGGACAGGAACCAGACCGCCTCCTTGCGGATCTTCTCCTTGGGGTGGGAGAGCAGGGCCGGGAAGTAGGAGAGCGCATCGAAGTTGAGCACCACCTGTGTCTGCTCATCAGAGCCGGTCACAATGTTGCCCACGGCGCGCAGAGCTGCGGTCTGAACCTTGACCTCGTTGTTGCCCAACAGCGGTATCAGCTTAGGCACAACCCCGCTCTCGATGACCATCTGGATCTGGTCATTACCTCCATCGGTCAGATAGCTGATTGCCCAAACAGTGTCCACCAGAATGTTAGTGTCAGTGTGATGTATGAGCACATTGAGTGCGGGCAGGATCTCGTGGATGGTGGCGGCCGGCGGCGGCGGATCCTTGTTGCGGCACAAATTCACAATCACCCAAGTCACATTCCGCAAGAATGAGATGGGGATGTCCGGTTTGATGAATGAGAGCAGTGGCTGCACAACGCCGTGCTTGATGACATAGTCTCGCAACAAGGGTCCGTCGCCAATGATATTGCCCAGTGCCCACACAGCTTGTTCACAGACGTTGGCAGCGGGCGAGTTCAGAAGTTGAAGGAAGAGCGGCACAGCGCCGGCGGCAACGACCTGAAAAAGAGACAGTCGTCAGGTTCAATTTGATATTAAGATTAGTTAAAAGTGCCCACCTGATTGGTTTGTTCCGAGGTGCCGGATGCAATGTTGGTCAGGGCCCAAGCGGCCTCGAACTGCAGCATTGTGTGATTGTGTTGTTTTAGACACTCCACCAAGATGGGCAGAATGTCGCTATGGATCAGATCGTTGATGGGTGGATTTTTGTCCGAGGAGAGTAATTTTCGGGCGGCCTGGACAGCGGCCAGCTGCTGCTCCGGCTTGGTGGCATCGGCCGCTGCCTGGGCGAGTTTCTTTAGGTTGATGGATGTGGGCAACTGCTCGTCCTCGTCTGTGTTTGAGTCCAGATTGGGCACGTTACGACGCTTGAGGATGGTCTCCTCGCGCTTGTTTTTGCGCAGCTCCACGGTCACCTCGTTGCGGCGACGACGCATCTCCTGAAATATACCCAATGGATTAGTCCTCGCTTTAAACAGTTAAATAGCGACGTGTCCACACTTACATCCTGGTCCTTCCCTTTGTTTTTAAAGTTTTGTAAACGATTCTGCTCCAACGACGTCATTTTCGGTCTGTTTCTTGTGTCTGGCTGATTGCAGCTTCAATAACTGGCGACTGGCGATTGGTCGGTAAAAATGCGTGTGCTGCTAAAAATCAATTATGAGCGGAGATGGCGACGTACGCCTCCTGAGGAATTCCGTTTCGTTCGAAACAATTTGTTTCAATTGGAGCAAAAATGTAATCGCACGCACACAAACACACGCGAATGGGCGACGAAGAAAAATAGCGTAGAACCAACACAGTTGCAGTCGCCCAAAGTCAAGCAGCGGAGCAGAGCAGCACGATGGCGCAGGCAATGAAAAAGAAATGGCGAAAAAATACCGAAATTAGCAGCACAATCGGGGGAAAACGCAATAATTCGGTTGCACTGCACAGTCTACTTACGTGACAAGTTAAAAAATTTAGTTCCACCCACGACACTGGCACCTTCTACGCCTTTTTAAAACGATCAATTTTTTCTATTCTTTTTTTTATAAAAATTGCAATTCGTGACAGCGACGTGAGTGAAGTTGGCTGCGGTTCTGAAAACGGGACTGTCCACTCGAACGCAGGGTTGATGGGCTTACTTTATCGCCAAAGATGTACAAACTAGTTATTTTCACTGTTTTGTTTATTTTTTTATAAAATATTTATAAAGAATAGAAACTTCTTTCGGAATTGTTCAGAAAACGAAATTATAAAATTTATACTTGGAAGTCACAATACAACTGATCTCATCAAATATAACTTGGAATGTAAACTTTCCAGGTGACAGAACTGCCATGGCACTAGTGATCAAATAGAACGAAAGTTCCATATTCCTTGTACGGTTATAAAGGGTTTAGCCATAATTAAATTACATTCATGTGTTGTTAAAGTAAATTTTCTGTTGTGCTGTTTGAATAAATATATTTATATAAAAAAAAAAAAAAATTCAGAAAGTAGAGTTTAAAATTGTAAAGTTCTCATGCTGAAGTGGTCATTAAAAAGTAGATAGAGAAAACTCAATTTTCAGGTGATTCAAGCTTTGAACTTGTTTAATTAGTTATAAAATTCAAGTTCATTTTATTTAGCTAGTTTTTCATTTAATTTGCTCATCGCTATAAATTGAGGAATTATCGATTATCGGAAGACAAAGTGCTATCTCTATTATTAAATGTTCTGCGTGCAAAAACAAAACACAACACAAAAAGGATTATTTTGCGCGATGAGTTATTCCAGAAGAATGCATGGGCACTAGGGCACGTGGCGGAAGCCAAATCCAGCGAAAGCGCGATGACGGAGAACACAGAAAACGGCGCGGGCATGGATAGCCCGAAACTGGCGGAGCAAGAATCAAATCCACTCACATCTAGGGAAGTGCCCGAAATTAAGGTGAAGAGCGAACAGCCGGATGCCGAGGTGGAGGCCAAGCTTCGGGCTCTGAATGCCAAATTTAAGGCGGAGGCTCTGGCGACGTCGCAGAGTTACAGCAAGGACAATGGCGCTGAGTCCACGGATGATAGTGACGATTCATCCTCCGCTGACGATAAGAAAGCTATAGAACCCGTGAAGTCGTCCAATGAGATTCTGGCCGAGCTCTTCGGCGTATTCAACGCTGCTCCGCCCGAGGAGCTCCTGGACGACAAGAACCTGCTCAAAAAGAAGAAAAAAGTCAAGAAGGAAAAGAAAGAAAAGAGGGCAAAAAAGAAGAAGCCGCTAAAGTCCGATGGCGAGTGCAGTGACTCCGATGCGGAGGGCAAGCACAAGCATAAACGCAGGAAGCACAAGCACAAACACAAAGAAGACAAGGATAAGGATAGGGAAAAGCTTCGGGATAAATCAAGGGAGAAAGCTGCTGCTGGATCTGCTTCCTCTTCAGTGGCGGCGGTTACGACAACAACAACGGGCCAGGAGAAAGAAAAGTCTGAGAACAGAAAGCGATCCGTGGAAGATTGGAGCAACCATTCAGACTCGCATCCCATTAAGAGGGAAAGGCAGGCAAGGGAAAGAGACCGCTTTCAAGAACGTGAGCGACGGGCCGACAGAGAGAAGGAGCGGGAACAGGAGCGGGAACGCGAACGCGACCGGGAACGAGAAAGAGAAAAGGAGCGTGCCCGCTCAAGCAACAGCTTCTACAACGGGCATCAGGAATCAGACCGCTCCAAAGGATCTCAAGTTGCCAAGTCCAATTCTCGGCTGGAGCGTGACCTTTCCGATGTCTCACTCTCCGACGAGGATACTTACTTGCGCGAAAAGGCCTCCAACGGGCGGCAAAGGCCTCACAACAGCTTCTATGATGGCAAGGAGGAGCCCAAGCTAGAACCGAGAGTGGAACCCAAAGCAGAGCCGAAACGACATGTGCGGGAAACGGAGGCAAGGAGACGTCGACAGAACAGGTCTCGATCGCGGTCCAGAGATCTCGGGATCGATAAGAAGCGGTTGCTAGAGATTGCGCGGAAGAATGCCATTAGCATGTTCAAGCGAGGAACGCTGCCAGGCGTGGCCAACATGACGCCAGAGATCAAGGACAAGGTGCTGGTAAAGATGCGCTACGGCGGTCGTACGGTTCAAGATCTGACTGACTTTTGCAAGAAGATATCCAAGGGCGATGGTCTTTCCGACTTAAGTTCAGACGAGGACTCCGATGTGGATAAGAATGGCAATGCGAAGGCCTTTCACCATCCCTTCCAGTTGAAGGAGCGCGAGCCTATCGTAATGCATATACGGAATTCCACACCGATTGTACCGGCAACATCCCTGCGCGAGGAACAAACCAAGGCCATCACCATGCAATTTCCAGTGTCCTCCGGGCAGACTCATCGTATGAATGAGGTGTGGGTGCCGGTAGAAAGTAAGGATAAAGTAGTGCCGCTGCCAGCTTTGCCGCCGGCGAAGCAGGCCACAGATATGTTCAAGGAAACGCCAAAGAACGTGTTCGCAATGCCTTTTCCGCAACAGGATCAAGAGGAGCCCGCCTTTAAATCGGTAGGGGGAGTGTCTATAGCTCCAAGTACAGCCACCACAGTGTATCCTGCTCCAGCAGCTCCTATGCCAGTCCCGCCACCTGTAATAAATGCAAAAGATACCGCGCCTCCAGTTCCTCTTGCGCCCTTTAAGTCCGAAGTGCCAATCCCATCGGCCAAAGAGGAAACGCCGGCGCCTAGCTCCTCCATTTTTCCGGAAGTTGCTCCGCCCTCCATGGATGTCTCGAGTATTATTACACAGCGTCTCAGTGCCATTCGTCGTCTCCAGGTGAGTGTACGGTTCATAATCTTATTCTATTTCTGATGTCAATTCGTGAACTTCCAAAACAGGACAATCCTGGCGACTCTGAGGCCCTCAAGATGATGTATCACGCGCAACGCAATATGTCGTCGTGGGCCCACTCCAAGCACCTGCCCGGACAGTTTACCGGCAGCACTGGCGCCCAGGTGATGAAGGCCCATGAGCTGAACAGCGGCCCACAGCTTTGGGTTCGCAAGGACCAACTGACATCCACGAAACCGGTGACAGGCGGCATGGGCATGGCGCTGTTGCAAAAAATGGGCTGGAAACCGGGCGAGGGACTTGGCAGGTGTAAGACCGGTTCCCTGCAACCACTACTTCTAGACGTAAAGCTTGACAAGCGCGGTCTGGTGTCACGAGAGGACCTTCGGCAACAGCCTAACCGTCCAACTCCCGCCCAGCGAAGGAACAAGAACGCAACCGGGCATTTTGGGGGAGGAACTGGGCCTCCGGGTGCCGCAGTACCCGTGGTAGCGCCGCTCGTAACCCAGGATAAGCATCCTGTGTGTGTTCTCAACGAATTGTCATCGAAGAACAAGTGGACGCCGCCGCAGTACACGCTCCGCCAAGATACTGGTCCCCCTCACTGCCGGTTATTCCTGTTCTCTGTTGAAATCAACGGACAGAGTTACACGCCGGAACGGGGATGCCTTAACAAGAAGGAGGCCAAACTTAATGCGGCTCAGTTGTGTTTGCGATCATTGGGCATCCTCCCGTCTAGTTAATGGCAGGAAGTGTCTAGTTGGTAAGTAATTTGAATCGTTAAAGTGTATATATACATATTAAGGCCTAAATCCCACTTACCTGCAAAAAGTTGATCATGTTAAAGACGGAACGGAGGCATTAAAACAAGAAGAAGAATGTAATATAGAAATATATGGAAAACTGTTTTTTAAAAGAAAACTGCAGTGTTCAACTATTTATTAATATCTATTTATTACTATCTCTTTAACGATCTTTAAAATGTTTTTGTTATTTTATGTAGCTAAAAACAAAGCTCTTTTTGGCACTAAAGAGAGTCCGATAGGAGTAGGAGTAAGAGTGTTGAGCGAGCTTTTATCAACGCTGACTACAGTGGGCTCTATGCGCCCAAATAATGGGGCATGGGGAGTTCGATAAACCGTGTGATTTGGCCGCGATTTCGCCCCACGGTACGTGCAGTTTTCGCACGCGAGAGCTTTGATTGCTGCTAACGGGGCTTTTGCGCAAGTACACAAACAAAGCCGAGCCGAGCGAACAGCTGACTGGGCTAGAGAGTGGGTGGTGGTTACTATTGGACATGGGGTAGGGGAGTGAGGGGCTCGGCCTGCTTTGGGGACTCTGGCCATTAAATCTCTCGGCGCGCTGCAAGCGAATTGCTCCACAGCGAAGGTCAGTTCACGCGGGAGCTCGAACTTCGTCGGTTGCCGATTGTGTCGCGGTGACAAACAACCCGGAGAGGAGAGGATATAGCAGGAGCAAGGGACTGGAGTGGAGCAGCAGCGGTGGGGGGCAGGTCGTCACCCGGATACAGACACAAAACTTTTTCGAGTGCCCCAGTCCCAGTAGCAGCAGCAGCAGCATCAGCATCCATTAAAGTTGGACAAATATTTGTTGTGAAAATATATATCACCATAATTTCTGGGACTCCTGGACTCGTTACGGGATGTGGGCGCGCATTTTGACTTCCACATGGATTTGGCACAAGAAAACAGGCAACGAAATTGGTAAAGTTGCATAATTACGACACGCACATGAACACACATGAGAGGCGACGAGTTCGGGCGTTGCTGTGATGCACTGCAGCATTTTGGCCAGCTTTGGGCTCGGGCACTTTGATTGCGGCCGCCGCCATGGAAACGTGTCGCACCTGTGCGATTTCCATGTTTGTGTGCGATTTCGAAAATGGCAGCAACAACTTCCTGGACCTCTACCATTCCAACTGCTGGCCAAGCGAAATGGCCCAAATACGCCAGCAGTTCCTCAACTGGAATTTAAAGGTGAGGAGAGTGCACAGTCAATAAAATAAGGGGACACATTAGGTGTTATCCTGAGATTTTTACAGGAATGAAAATGATTATTTATATTTTGAGCTTGAAACCAGTTTATTTTGTTTTTAAACTTGGCAAAAATCGTTATAATCCTGTATTGTAAAGTAAATATATAATTAAACATTTCTTCAGATTAATGAATACTTCACCAAACCAATTTCTAAAATTATTAAATTTATATGAGTTTTAAATTGTACTAAAGAAAAAAAATTATACCGAAATTTGTTTTCTGTGTGTTTGCGGTTGTTGATTTTTCTGCCTCCTCTTTGAAAATTGCACAATTTTTCAAGTGAAAGTTGGATTTTCCACTAGGGTAAGGGGTTTTGCTAGACAAAGCCAGGAAGGCTTTACACTTGGGGTTAAATTATGCTTCAAGCTACAATTATCTTGTCAAGTAGGAAGTAGAAGAAGAAGTAGACAATCTCAAGATTTCCTGAACAGAAGAAGAAAGACATTTAGTGAGATCCTAGTTATAATAGTTACTAAATTATTAGTATTGATATTTTTTAATACATATAAAATGTATTCACAGATCTCACCTAATGATGGGCTGCCCCAGAAGATTTGTAGCGACTGCTTCACCAAGTTCTGCTCCATCCATTCTTTCCGCGTGGCCTGCCAGGAGGCGCAGGTGAAGCTATCAAACATTTACGACAAGATCGATGCCAGCAGCTTGGAGGATGGGCAGCAGGAGGACTTGGACCAAGAAGAGGATCCTTATGATCCAGGGACAACCATAATAACAACAACAACAACGACGGTTTCAGCCGAAACACAACCAACAAACACTGCCACTGAACCCATACAGTTTTTTGTGGATGCCCTAGACATCGAAGAAGAATCGGAAGAGGAGGCGGAGACAGTGGAAGCCAAGGCGGAGGAGCAATCACCGGAGGAATCTGCCCCCCCGGAACTGACCATTAGCTATGCCTGCAAGTTTTGCCTGCAGCCGCAGGAGAGCTATCATCTGCAGCAACATTTACTGGAGCACATCAATGCCACCCATGATCCAGAGCAGCCGTACAACTGTCCGGAGTGCGAGGCGCGATTTCAAGATGCTGCCTCCCGGACTGTGCACCTCAAGAGCTGTCACGTAGAGAAGCAGCACGCCTGCGAGGTGTGCGGCAAAAAGTACAGCGATCGGCACAATCTGCGCCACCACGTCGAGAAGTATCATTCGGAGACGGACTTTGAATGCGGCCTGTGCGAGAAGCGATTCTTCACGCGGAAAAGTCTCAACTACCACATGAAGTGGCACAATCCGGAGCGCCAGTTCAAGTGCCGTCAGAATGGATGTGAGCGTTTGTTCATCAGCCAGCGGCACCTCAAGTGTCACGAGGCCACGCACACGGGCACTAGTGCCAGGAAGAGTGAGCACTGCGGCTTCTGCGGAAAGAGTGAGGAACTTACGTATAAATCTCCTGAATGGTGTCCTAATCTTTACTTTGGTTGATCCCCTGCAGCTTTCATACACCTGAAGACCCTTCGCTGGCATATCTACAGGCAGCATGGCGGCGAGAAGCCCTACAAGTGTGCCAACTGCACGGAGGGTAAGTGGATGCGGGCCAGAGCTGGGGGGCACTTTAACAGGATCACAGATCGCCTCATGAGCATTAATCACATATACTATATATATATATCAATCTGCCGTATCATCGAACATTCTTTCACATCCAACAAGCGCTTTAAGACCATAGAAACTGAGCCAAGTCCGGCTGCTTCTGCCGCCTCCTATAGTGTGTGTTAGCCAAGCCTAAAGCAACGGTAAACATAATGGCTAACCCCTAGCTCTTTTTGTACACCTTTACTAGCCATCGCATGCAAACATCAAATAACATAACGTTTTGTACTTTGACCTACTCTTAGCCACTTGATTAGCGTTTTAACCCGTCAAAACCAATCAACCAAGCAACCAATGCATAACCAACTCCATCATCCACCGTACAAACTCCCCGGAGAGCAGCATGCAAACAAGGATCGTCTTGAAATTGGAATATTCGCCCTGCAATTACTAATTGGACAAAAGCGATTAGTTTAAATGCATTAATTGCAACTGAAACAGTAGCTTTGGCGACTATCCAAGTTCGGGACGATATAAATATTTTTTCGAGTGCATATATATATTTCTACTTCATGACCACCCAAGTCTAGCCATGCCTAACTTTTCCACCTATCTCTATCTAATCGAAATCTCCTCGAATCCACAGTTTTCGCATCATATGCGGAGAAACGGATCCACATGCTGGAGCAGCACAGGGAGAATTTGACGGCCATCGAGCGAAGTGAGTGTATGCTGTGCCGCCAGGCCTTTACCAGCGAGCAGGATCTGGTCGTGCACATGTCCGCCGAGCACTTGCAGCAGGCCGGAGCACCGGTGATTGCCAACAATAAGCGAGTGCTCCAGCAGAAGCGGGAGCGCCAGTATTCCGGACTCTTTCAGTGCGACAGTTGCACCCAGCGGTTCAACATGAAATCGGCACTGGAGCGGCATGCTGCCGTCCATTCGGAGAAGGATCGACCGCACGCCTGCCCACACTGCTCGAAGAGATTCAAGCGGGCCCAGGACATGAAGTGGCACATCAAGACGCACGAGAAGGAGAAGCCCAATGTGTGCGACGTCTGCGGCAAGGCCTTTGCCCTGAAGTATGTACTGACGCAGCATCGCTTGAGCCATGAGAGTGAGTATCCAAGATGGCCCTACTATCTACTCTTAGTCATTTTTAAACTATTTCAGTCTTGGAGAAGAACTTTAAGTGCAACGTTTGCGGTCGCGCCTATCTGTTTGAGAAGTCGCTGCGGCTTCATCAGCGGGTTCACACCGGCAAGACCTACTACAAATGCGATCTCTGCCAAGAGCGATTTGTCACACACATCAAGCTGAAAAGTAAGTCTAAAAAGTTCTTAAAGCTTTCTTCTTATTATTTTAAAATCGATTCCAGCTCACATGCAAAAGACACACGCCTCTCAGCCGAATATAGCTGATCCTCTGGATGATTTGATAAACATTGTGATTTCCTAGACAAGTGGAAGTGAATTATAATACACACAAAACTGCATCGCATTGGGAGCGTAGCTCTCGCTGACTACTAAACTCGAACCTACTTAGATCTTATAGATATCGATTATACCCTCCATCCAATCACTAGACCATATGCACACAGGGATCGAAGAGTCGCGAAGGTGCTGAAGAGCTTTATCTAGTATACTCTATAGGCAAATACATCTCACTTTATTCCCTCTATTAGTCCAGTCCAAGCCCCATATCTATCTCTGATTCATATTTATCACGCAGAACGCCTCTTACACTCCAAGCACATGCAACTATATGTGTTGATTATCCACTTGACCATTTGATGACCATTTAGCGATAAGCAATAAGCAAAGAGAACAAATGAGAGATGTTACAAAAGCAATTAAAGCTTCACGGCAAACTTTTAATGCTCAACAAAATGCATTTATTCCAGATGAAAACCGAAAAGTATTTACAATAATTACAAAAAATGTATGAGAATATTTAAAATATCAGATAAACTATGAATTTTAATATATGTAGTTCCAGATATATTTACCAAATTCTTGTTCCATATAAACATTAATTTGAACAAACTGGTCTCAATAGTTTTTATTTAAATTTGGCGGCAAAGCACTTATCGAAATGTTGAGAATCTATCGATTATCCACAGTCGCTCTAAAACTGTACACCTTTATGTAAATTATAAACTATATAATTTTACAATTGTATTGCACCTACATGATTTTTTCCAGATTATTAATATATTTAAGATTTCAAATTAGCTTGAAAGCAGTTAGCGCATAAGGAGCAGTCACCGCCTACACACGATAGCTGCGACTCGTGACTGCCCACCTGCGGCCAACTATCGCCCATCTCTAGGGACGTGAACACGTCAGTTTTTAGTTTATAATTTTTAGGCGAAAAGATTCAGTACACAGTGCAATTCAAAGTTTGTGGACTGGGCAGCGATGACCACGACCAGCGACACACTCCATATCATTTCGGAAACCATTGCTTAAACAGCCTGACCTACGCCGAAGCAGCGCGTGCAACAACACAGAGTGCCGAAATTTGACCAAAAACGGACGCAAAATCTATAAAAGCCGCAACAACAACGCCGTGTTGACGAGGGGGCGGGGTGCTGTACGGAAAAGAAGATTAGCAGCTGCCACGCCAAGCAGATCCGACGTGCGTGTCGATTCGGAATCAAGTTTAAATCACGCCCCCACAGGCCTTTGTCGGCCACCGAAGTACACGTAGCCATAGCCATGGCCTTGCCATTGAGCGACCTCCTCATGTTTGGCAGCGGCGAGAAGAAGTTGGCCGCTTGCGTGGTGCTCCTGCTGCTGGAGCTCTTCCTCGAAGGTATAATCACAGATAACAAGCTTGCATTATCTTTTGGCCGTTGCCTAAACACACGTCATTGTTATTTTGCACAGGCGCCGAGACGGCAGCGAGTCCGGCTGACATTGAGAACCATCTGGAGCTGGGCAAGGAATTTCTGGCCCGCGGGCAGCTGTCGGATGCACTGACGCACTACCATGCAGCTGTTGGTAATTAGAAACAAATGAATTCGAGTGGAATTACCCTTGCATATAACTTGATATTGCCGAACAATTGCAAGGGCATCCTCCACTTTCCTTTTTTATTTATTTAACATTTTTCCCTCTTCTGCAGAGGGCGATGCCAACAACTACCTGACGCTATTCAAGCGCGGCACCGTGTACTTGGCGCTGGGCAAGACCCGCTTTGCCATCCAGGATTTCAGCAGGGTTCTGGAGCTTAAGCCCGACTTCACAGCAGCACGCATCCAGCGGGGTGTGGTGCACATGAAAAGCGGCGAGTACGAGCAAGCGATCACGGACTTTGAGCAGGTGCTGCAAGAGGAACCGCACAACGGCTTGGTACTGGAGCACTACTCCCGCTTACAACCGGCTCAAGAACAGTGGACTCTTGTAAAGCAACTGATCGCACATGAAGACCACCAGAACGCTATTTCCATGATCACACAGCTACTGGAGATCTCCCCGTGGGCAGTGCCCTTTCGGCAAGCCCGCTCAGATGCCTACATTGCTGTCAACGATCCACTTTCCGCCATTTCGGATTTGCGACAGGTGAATCGACTGACGCAGGACAGCACAGAGGGTCACTACAACATCGCCCAGCTGCTATACACCATTGGCCATGCCTCGAATGCCTTGAAGGAGATCCGCGAGTGCCTGAAGTTCGATCCCGAACACAAGCTCTGCTTCCCCTTCTACAAGAAGCTCCGCAAGGTGGAGAAGCAGCTGGTGAACGCTGAGCAAGCGCGCGAGGAGAAGCAGTTTGCCGATTGCATAGCCGCCGGAGAGGCAGTTCTGCGGCACGAACCGGAGGAGCAGATGATCCGGTATGAGGGCCATAAGGCTCTCTGCAATTGCTACACCGGTGATGAACAGTTCGGCAAGGCCTTGCAACAGTGTAAAGAGGCTTTAGATATCATGAAGGATGCCCAGGTCTACTGCGATCGGGCAGAGGCTCTGCTGGGCACAGAGATGTATGACGATGCCATACACTCCTACCAGGCGGCTCTGGATCTGGATGAGAGCAACAACCGCGCAAAGGAAGGCATTCAGCGGGCCAAGAAGTTGCAGAAGCAGTCGGAGCGCAGGGATTACTATAAGATACTGGGAGTGAAGCGCACTGCCAGCAAGCAGGAGATCGTAAAGGCGTACAGAAAGGCGGCACAGAAGTGGCATCCGGACAACTTCCGGGACGAGGAGAAGAAGGTGGCAGAGAAGAAGTTCATTGATATCGCCGCTGCAAAGGAAGTGCTCACAGATCCAGAGAAGCGACGTCAGTTCGACAACGGCGAGGATCCGCTGGATCCCGAGGGTAACCGGGGAGGCTTCCACGGCGAACATCCCTTCGCTCACTTCCAGCACGGGTCGCCCTTCCAGTTCAAGTTCCACTTCAATTAGTCAGCCAGCGTCCCCAGCAGCCATATGCTTTGTGTACCGTCACGATATCCTCAGCGATTTTACACAGTTTTTGTTTCGTTCATTTGAATGGCGTGTAAATAGTAGCATAGAGCGTACAAGCCCACGAGCCTCTGGTCCGCTGTCAGAGAGCAGCACACACACACAAATCGCAACAATAACAACACACTGAGCCCTTACATTTAATTAGTTTATTTAATACAATAATTATAATGTAGTACATTTTTCTAATTATGTATAAAACGAAATATGAGAAACAAGAAATTAAAGACTTGGAAAGTGAACTGAATCGAAAGTAATTCGAAAAAACTTAAATCTGAAGGTTCCAAAGTTCCAAAGAATATGTTAATGGGAAACCATTTAGCTCCCTTAAGCGTTAGGGGTAACAATAACATAGATAAAAGACGCTACCATTGACAGCAATACTGCGTAAAAGTAGAGCTTGATGTGATATTTCTGATCCAGGGATACCAAGAGCTGACGAAACTGCGCCATCGGAGACACCTGATCCTGGGCCCGCCCTAGGGGCTTCCTAGCCTGCGGTCTGGCCGTCGGCGAGTAGCGAGAGCGTGACAACTGCCTGCTTCTGATAGGATCCACTTCCGCTTCTTCCTCACTTTCGCTGTCAATTTCCATGGGCTCTGGAGCGTTGTCCGTCTGATCGTAGAACTGATTGAGTTGTGGATACAGGGTGTTCAAAGTGGTTGTGGGCTGGAGCAAGGAACCCCTGACAAAGCCCAAACCACTATCTGCAGCAGTTTGACGCTGACGAGGAAGCGCCGGAGCGGGAGCCGTGCGTCCAAAGGGCTGGGCTGAACCACTGAAGGTATTTCGAGGTAGAACTGGTGAGCGCGATTGGTTGTACTCCGATTCCTGGTAGCTTGTCGAGTTTAACTGGGTTTGCGTAAGCAGCGGACGCGAGAAACCCAAATCGGAGCGTTTGTAGCTAGAAGGTTCGATGCGAGGTTCATAAACTGGCAGCGTATGGCGAGGAGCAGCTGGCACATGTGGCCTCTCGTATGTGTAGCTGTTTGGAATGTCATCATCCTTCTCCTGTTCGTAATGCGGTTGGTCCACCTCACGCGTGTATGATGTGGTCAGCACTCCCGATTTGGTCAGTGAAGCGGAGCGTTTTAGCGACCTGTCATCCTTGGGAAGAGTTCGATTCGCCTGAGAGTATCCCACTTTTGGGGAATCAACCATGAAATAGTCGTCGTCCTCCGACTGGGATCCCACATCAGACACCGTTGTTGTGGTCTGCACAGATCTTCCAGAAAGCGATATGTTGTCCGGTGTGTGGGCAATGGTGCGGCGAAGGTTGGTGCTGGCATCACGACCTGGACTTTTGCCCGCCGTTCGACGCACCGGCTCCGCAGTTGGAGCGCTAACGTGTACGGTTTCACGCCTGGGGGCTGACTTCTTGACAGCAGACTTGCTTTTGTTCAAAGGAACTCCAGAGATCGCACTTCGCAGCCGGCGGATTATAACACTACGGGTGCTGTCCGTCACAGGCACTTCGGGCAGTCCATGCTCCTTGCACTTCTTTAGAAGATCCTTGTTGGACAATTGGTCCAGAAAAGCGAGGTCGTCCGACATTGTTTTCAAATCTGGTGAAATTTTAAAACAAAAAACAAAAATAGCAATGTCGTCACGATTTGTTGTGTTCGGGCATAGAGATAACACTAAAGTGATGTTGGCCTATCGATAGGTTTAATTGAAAAGTGGTTCGATAGTTGAATTTTGTGAAATTTTTATCTATTTTAATATATGGTCCCACTCTTTTATGTTGGTACTTTACACGGCTTTTTAAAAACATCAAACTGGTTCATGTTTTACTAGGCCACTTTTAAATACTCTTAATATTTTACCAATTTGAATGACAACGATCCGAAACCCAAAAGCACCTGAGAGAGAGTTCTGTTAACTAACATTCACCCTACTGCCAAAGGAGGGGAAGAGAGCGAAATTACAAATTTTACATTATACATGCGAATTCGACCTCAAAAACGAGAATTCGACCCCAAAAATGAGAATTCTACTCCATTTATCTGTAAACAGGTAAAATGGTCATCAAGACATGTAAGATGTAAAATGTTAAACAACAGCTTCGGAATTAGAGTGACCAAAAACAAGGTATACAAAATTATCAACACTCTTCCTCAGCCACTCTTTGGCCACACAGAATATCACAACAGGTGTTTTCAAAACAAAAAAAAAGTTCGAGTTGAGCGGGTCGCCGTGCGGAAAACTGAAACTAAACAAGTCGCAGCGCGGAAACTAGAATCGTTAGCACCTGTTGTCCCAGTGTCCGGGCTTGCGTGTGTTTTGTTTTATTCGGTGTGCTGTTTATCCTGCGCCGCAGTTTCAATTGAAAGCAACATTAACCGTTTTGCTGGCTGCAATTGCAGCATATTTTTCACTCAGCTCAGCGAAAGAGCAAAAGAAACAACAAGAGCAGCATAAACATAAACCGAGACACCGAGAAACCGGTTAAAGCGGACAGAGTGTGGAAGGGGCGCAAAAGAGCAAGCGAGAAAAGTACAACAACGAAAAATACGAAAAAACGAAACGAAATAAAATAGTTAAAGATCCACGGATTTTGGTTTTGTTTGCCCAAGAAGTGTGTTTGTTCTTTGTTTACCCTTGCTAACGCCGCGTTTTCCCCGTTAATATTGCTGTCTTTATCTGCGGATCAAATCGAAAGTGAACCAATAATAAGTATTACCCTGCAATTGCCGGAGCACTTCGCGTGGCCTCTTTCTTATCGTCACCGTCCACTTCAACTACCTGTTGTTGCCTTCACAATCCTCGAAAGGTGAGTAATACTAGCCTGCTCTTTTACAACTCAGACTCTCAAAACAAATCGAATCTGTAACTTTACTAACTTTAATAAAAGGTAAACAATACAAAACGAAAGCAAGTTTAGGAAATTTGGTGTTTTAACCACTTGCAGAAGGTGCAATATTTATAAAGGCGCAATTATTCAATGTCCGGTTTAAAGCTCTTATCGTTTAATTAAATTATTGCTTTCATATTCATTTCTTTCAAGAGTTTTGATAAAAAATCGATCTAGAAACCCTTCATTCAATTTGGTCAAAATTAAAATTAAAAATATTTTTTATTTTGAATAACAATAATTAAAGTACTATACATCACCATTCGTTGGATTCTGTTAGTCATTAATCAACAGAAAATTAAGTTTTACCGTTTCCAATCCCTTTGTTTGAATTATAATTGACTTAAAGCTCAGCCAAGCGTAGTAAACATACCAAATATTTATCAAATTCCTCGAAAAAAAACTTAAAAAATGAATGTAAATAGAGCTGAGACATATATTTATTGGGGCTATCAAAAATCCAAATGTTTCTTACCAATTATAAACCCTATTTCGTAGACCTACTTGCTGGTCATGGCCTATATTTGGAACATCTTGATACAGGGGCACGTGAGGGCCGTATCGATAAGCCCGCCTATTGATTGTTGCAAAGAGATTAGGCAAATAACTTAGCCATATTTGGGAATTCGTAAACACCGCCGATCGAGACCAGTTCATTGACACAACCTTTGGCTGTTATTTTTTGAACTTGCTCAACTTTCACTGTTTCCCTGAAACACGGCTCGCCAAAATCGGCATAAATCAACACGAAAACAGCAAACACACACGACATAAAAAAAATGTTGTAAATGCCAAAATTGAAATGCAAGCGCAACTTAATAAAATCAAATTTGTTGGCTGCTTTGGCTTTTGTTTTATCCCCTTGTTTTTGTTTTATGTAATCCCCATGGTTAATTTCCAGGCATCATTAAGCCCGCCGAGGAAAAGTCTCTCGAAGACAAATTGAAGCACACGAGAAGATGATTATGAGATAATCAGTAAATTGCACAAGACCAAATGAAGTCATGAGAGTTTGAGTGGAGATCGCAGTTGTTGAGTGGGATTGGGTATTGGGTTTGGTGTGAGTCGCGCTTCAGTCCAGCTTCAGTTCGACTCCAAATTGAATGAGATAACAGATTCGAAAATGATTTATATCTATTAAATGTAATGGCATGGCAAAAATGTATGTATGTGCATATTTTCCGGGGAAATTCAAAGTTCCCCCTTACTATTGGCCAATACCAAATCCCAAATAAATGGCTATGACTCAGAGCCAATTGCATTTATTCACTCCTATCTTGCATCTAGTTATCGCTATAGACAAAATTCCGAAACATGAAAGAAAACAAAATGCCAAATATTCCCACCGACAAAATATGCAGAAATCGACAAACAACAACAAGTTTTATGAACGGCCAAAAAATAGCAGCAACAAAACAAAACTATGCGCATAAAAAAGTTATATAAAAAACACGTTCAGACAACGGGTACAGGTGCGAGCGGGATGGCAGTATCAAGTGGGTTAGCTTTGGGAGTGTGTGTGTGTGTGTGTGTTTGTGTGCATCTGTGTGAGCCACGCTTCAATTGCAAATGCGCCCAGTAAAACAACAAAGTATAAAAAAACAAGAAAGAAATAGTTGCCAAAGAGAACCGAAGCAAGGAATACCCTTTAAACTATAGGATTTGTAGGATATATTTATTTTGTATCCTGTATACTCTATAAATGAGTTTTTAATAACCGAGTTTATAGCGGTTTTAGTTAAATTTTCTTACTTAATGTCAAAATATTGTGCAATATATTCAAAGAATGTAGTTTGAATTTCTATAGAAATTTCTAGTTATAAATTACTTATTAAACAAAGTAAAGCTTAGAATATAAATATTCTTAAAGACATCGCAAGATATAAATAAAATCAAAGCATAAATGTATGAGTACTCTGTAGAACACAATTGTTTTAATTTAATTTAATACTAGTTTTATGTTAGATCCCAAAAATGATACAGTTTATTAAAATTATTAGAAATGTCTTTACCTATTATTTAAAAGTTCTTAAAAGTTTCTGCATTATTTAGTTAAACTTAATATAAATATTACATTTTAAATTTAGTAATTTAATAGAGTTCTTAGATCTGTTTTTGACACTTAATTATAGTTGACCCTTGAAAGAGTGTCCAACAAAAGTTAAAAAAAATCATTTACGCAGATTGTTGACGCTCTGTTGTTGTTGTTGTTGGTGTGGTTGTTGTTATTGCCATTTTGTTGTAATTGTAAATTCTACAGGTTTCTCAGTGGACGCTTTTCTGTCTGCATGTGTGTGTGCTATAGCTGTTGTTGCCTTAATGGCACAAACAAAAACAAAAACAACAACGCCATCGATCGCTCTGCAATTTTACGCCAAAGCTAAAAAGGCGAGCGATCGGGCCAGCAATCGAAGCGATCAACAGAAGTGAAGGAAAAGGATGAAAATGGGAGGTGATCGGAATTGTGATGGTGGGGATGACGGGGATGATGGGGGGGGGGGCAAGGAGAGGCTACTCCATTCGTAGGCAAACCGGGCCAGTTGTCGAGCACTGTGGGCCGGAATAAAAAATCACAACAATAACCATTATTCTACCTACCAAGAAATAAAGTCATGCAAATGTAGCTAAGGAAAAGACACACAAGTTTACCTTGAAAGATAAATTAGATTTGTTGTAAGGGAAAACTTGTTATTAAAATAAATCAACTTAATTTTCGCTTCTAGTTCTATGAATTTCATTAAATTTTAAATCATAAACTGAAGTATTCTTTACACTTTCCACTGTGCAGCGGCTATGCCGTGTTTATGCCCCAATAAAAGCAACAACAGTGCCGCAAACGTTGCAATAAGTTGAGCGGACGCTTGGACCCCTCGAGTCGCCTTAACTTGGCCAACAACTTTAACCAACTTGGCGCTCGACTCTGGCTCTGTCTCAGTCTCAGCCAGCTTTTCGTTTGCTTTTTGTTGTTGTTTTGCACTCGCATTCGTAATTGTTTCATGAAACTGGCCACCACCAACTCCAGGTGAGGGTGGTGGTGACTCCAAGGGGTAATGCGGCGGTCCGAAGAGAAAAAAAAACAGGTGCGCGCAGTGCGCAAACGCGCGCGCATTTTTGGTTTTGTTTACTGGTTTTTTGTTTTTATTTATTTTGTATTTTTTTTTTTTGGTTTTCGGCCGCTTCGATTTGGGGGCAACAGTTTTTCGCTTTTAATTATGGTTTATGTGTCGCTTACAAAAAGCTAAACCGTCGAATGCCGATCGTTGATCGGCATACACTTATCCAGCAGTAAGCCAGCAAAGCGGTATATGTATATATATATATCTATATGCACATGCCGCATACCCATTTGGACTTGAAGCGGCCCAAGGTTGCCCCATGAGTCCGCTGGCGGCGGAGTAGTGACACGAGTGGAGGAGACATGTCGAGGCATTGGGGTTACTGCTAATTGTGAATTGCCTTCTGGGCGGATCGCAATCGAATTGGAGAATTGGCTCTGGGGCGTAAGCCATTGGCCAAAGTTATTGGAGTGGAAAGCCCCGATGCGAAGGTAAAGTCTTTAGCTTTCCCCCATAAGTAAAATCGGGCTAGAAATTCCAGGACAGGTAGCTAGCTGACTTTTGTATTTAAATGGCAAGTTTCATTCGGTTAGGAATGCATTTTTTCTTATCTAAAGAAAAGTATTTTAATGGTTTCTACCTTTATCTGCTTAAGGGCTTTTCATTTAAAACCATAATTTGCTGACCTGATTTGAGTATCAACTTTGAAAGTCTTTTTAGAATTCCTTCCTTTTGGTATTTATTGATAGGTTTCTGTTTCCATGACGAATTCTATTTCTTGGATACATATCTTTATATTAGCTTACTGATTACTCAAGAAATTAGACAGTATTTTATGGCTACTTTATATGCTGATAACTTTCGGGTTTCTCCAAGTGGATCTAGAATTTTTCCGCAAGTAAACCTCTTTTATCAGCGAGGGCCTTTTGGGTTACTCATCATACTACCAAGTGGCAGTTTGGTGTAAAATTGATTCAAGTAGCCGGAATGAATCATACGCAAAACAATGTAATAATGTCATGTTAATATACCTTTCCTGCTTATCTACTTATTTACAAGGTGCCTTTTTTAAGTAAGGAAATACAGAAATGTTTCAGTACTATCTGGTGACCCAATTTGAGTCATCAGATAGGGAAGAGACGACTGCAGCCGGTGGGTAATGTCAAGGCATCGTGCATAAGTCACACGCCGTCTTAATAAATATTAGATTGCCGCAATCTCGCAGATACACATGTATCTGGATCTGACTCTGCAAAAAAGCAGTGACGGCGATTGTATCTCGAGTTACGAGCGCACGCGTGTTTCTTGCGCCTTTGTTTTGTTTACACTCGATTGCAATTTGCATCTGGCAGATACATTCCTCGGCGCTGCGAGCTCTGCGCTGTGCCGCGCATTCAAAAGATCGCTCAATTGGCCAAGTAGCCGAGCGGGCCAGCTAGCTAGCTGCCCGGCTAACTGTAACTGGCAGCGATGACATTTTGTATCTGCTAGATACGCAGATAGCCAGCGAAGCGTAAATGCATTGCACGCACGCAGATACACAACACACACACACACTCCGCCTGAGACCCTGTGGCCTTATTAATATTTATCAATTTGTTATTTAACTGGCTTCGATCTCTTTGTCCGGCTGAGGCAACTTTTTAGCTTTCGATTTGCATAAAGCCCGATAAAAGATTAACAACAAAATACGCTTTTTTATAACTCAACTCGTTTGGAATTGCTGGTTTTTGTTTTTTCCACGTATTTATTTTGTCTGATTGTTTTTTGTTGTTATTTTTTGGTTACTTCTCGCTGTTTTGTTGCTGTTAAATTGCCAATTTGACCTTATTAAGTATGATTTGTAAAATACCTTGCGTGCGA